TTCTCAGTTTATTTTTCTTCCCCTCCAAGGCACCATTTTAACGGCCACGGTGCGATTGCTTGGAGGAGTTTAATTTTGCATGAGTGTCATTTGAAGATGAAGATCTGTCCCGTCAGCAGCTCGAGGATTGCTCACCCAGGGCCCAGCTCCTGCCCCCCTGCTCTCCCTCAGCGGGGCTCAGCTGTTCACTGAGATTTTCTTGGTCTCTTGGGCTTGGCTTCACCAGCTGAAAAATAACTAATACTGGGCCCAGCTGCCCTCAGTGATCCAGCTGCTGTCCCCATCCAGGGGCCAGGCATGGATCAGTCCGGAGACTTTTTTGGGGGTGAATGAGCCTCAGAAATTCCCAGCACCAGCAGCTGAACTGGATGCAGGGTTGTTAGTACAAAGCAAGAACCAGTCTCAGAGAGTTTCTCTCTCCACCCAGCTCCCAAATCCAGCCCAAAAAACTGAGCCCAGAACATAGCTACTGCAGGGCAGCTCCCACGAGAGAAGTTCTGATGGGATGGGACAGGATAGCTGGAAGGGAGATATATAATTGCAAATAATCAAAAGCAGCCACAGTTCTGTGATAATTAGTCAGAGCTACCTGTGAAATCAGAAGTCAGTCACACTCAGGGGGGGAAGGTGTCTCTGCCAGCACCCCTGATAAAGCTCTGATTAGCAGCAGGTCACCACCCTGATAATAACTGCTTCCAGTGATTGGGCTGGTAGGAGAATTGATGAGAAAGGGAGGTGGTGATGCCTGTTTGCTGCATTTGGTCAACTCCAGAGTAATCTGGGAGGAGATGACCTGTAGCATTGTGTTCCTGTCTGTGCTGCCATGGAATGAACAGCAAGATACTCATCTCGTGCCTCCCAGGCACTGCAGGCATTTCTAGTGCTACCTGAACACCCTGCTAATAAGAGGCAATGGGCAGGAAGGAATACGAAAAAGCAGCTGAAGATGAAATTTTTCCAAAAGATGTTCATCCATCACCGGCCTTCCCGCGCCTGTTGAAAGTCTCATTATGTGGCTGCAGCATCAGCCCTTCAAAAAACTTCCCTGAACTCTCTGTCAATCACACCCACCCGCAGAACAAGGTGTTAAGGTCAGAAGAGCAGCCTCCTGGAGAGGAACACAGTGATGGGAGGAAGAAATGGGAGAGGTGGGCTGGGTGAGGCATTGCTGCCAGCAGCCCTCTCTCCTTGAAGGAATCATCTTCTGGGAGGGGAGAAGAGCAACTGCTGCACTTTACAAACGAACTCTGCCATTTTTTGGCACTGTCCAAGCTCTGCAGCTGACTTTCCAGAGCCTTTGCTGTCCAATTCAGTAATGGCAAGAAACACACGTCTAAACACCAGCTGGTAGCCCATTTGCTTTGGCTATGTTGAATGTGCAGACAGCTCTCACAGAGGAAGCACTCCCTTTCCCCTCAAAATAAAGCTGTAAAACTCAAACATGGAAACTTGGCAATTCATGGCCAGTGTTTTTGACTCGGAGAGATCCCACAACCCACTTTCCCCATACAGTGATTGTCCTTCCCTGCTCAGCTTGCCATGACAACAATGTAAGAGGTGGTTAGTCCTTGACATGCTCCATCCTTGGACTAACGGCAGCTCCCCAACAGAACAATCCCAGCAGCAATTACGGAGGCTCTTCTAAAATGGGAGAAGCAAAAACAGATTAAAAAGCCATTTGAAACCTCGAAGCAGAATGCAGAGTGGAAGGGAACACGGAGCAGTCAGCGCTGCACGCGCTCGGCGAACAATGCGGGGACACTTCTCTGTGGGCAAAGTTAAATGCATCAAATGATCGTCAAACACGAGTGAGTGAAGAGCCTTGGGAGCCTGTGGGGATGGCACTTGACAGAAAGGCAATGGGTGCTGCTTTGTGCTTCATGGTTACAGCATGGAAAACCTTCCATGGAGGGGCTGAGGAGCAGACCTGTGACCCCTCCCAGCACCAGCACAAGGGACTAAAGAGGGGCAAGATAAAAGAAGACTTTCCAGTGCAGAATTCAATTACACTCCAGCCACATGAATCACTGTTCCACTGGTTGGATTATTTTCTTTCCTTGCTGGAGCCAGCCCAAGGATTTGGAGAGTATGTGCAACCTGGGAATGGAAAAAAAACCTTTTTACTCTTTCAAGAATGGCAAGGAGTCGTTACTAAGCGAAAGCTTTATTGTTTCCAGTAGTAAAACACTACATAAAAGTTGTAAGGGATGGAGACAAGAACAACAAAATAATAAACACAAATGACCAGAGCAGACTGAGCACATTCACTGAGCCTTTCTTGCTCACACTGAGCCAACTCAAAAGACAGTCAACTTGTACAGGTTTAGGATAACATCCCAACAAAAGTTACAAAACACAAAAAAGGGTAACACCACAAAGGAAAAGTGGTCTTTAATAGAAAATAGTGCACAGAGCTGCAAATGTTCCTCTATCACATTCAGATGTGCCTGGATCACATTCTCCATGGCCAGACCCTTCCCTCAACCCAAGAGGAGTCTTTCCATAGATGACTGAACAGTTCTGGTTTGAACTCAGGTGGAATTACCCCACAGAGCTAAAATACAGAGGTAAGAAAGAAAGGTTTCCAGTCTCACTGATACCAGAGCAGTCCCAAATTTATCTCTCAGAGTGTTTTATAAAACCTGGTCTCAGTTAAAAATCAAGCTCATGCCTCAAAGTGGCACAGCCAGCCAGTGAGGACCACCAGGTTCCTGTGCAGAGCTGGCAACCCACAGTGCAGTAAGTGGCTGTGGGAAGTGAGAGTGGGAATGGAAACACATCTGACCTGCCTGCACTGCCCAGGAATGAAGCACAAGGAACACAAGAAGAGTTAGAAATGACATGCTCAATTTTAAAAATTCTTTCTAACTCAGAGTTTTTGAAGAGAAAGTAACAGGTTTAAAGAAAATAGTCAATTTTTAAATGTCTTTTTTCTTCTCCTTCTGCTACAGAATTAACTTAGGCTGGCAGGCCAAGCTGTCTGAGGCACTGCAGAAATGAGAGCGTGAGCAAGACAAGCCTCACTTGCACTGTCAAAAGCTTCAAGGCAAAACAGGACTTTTTGGGTGGCAAAAGACTTCTGAAATTGAAGACCCTACAGCTCTCAGGAGAAACAGCACGACTCCAGCTCTGAAATGAGACCAGCATTTCAGCAAAAGCTGACGTTTGGAGTTACTTTTTCAGAAATAGCTAGTAATTTTGGCAATACTCCTTCCAGACATGCAGCTGGTCGAGTTTCATTGGCCAGGCTGACAACACAGATCATAAACCATAAAGCATCCCCCAGTGGAGAACAACCTCATCCCTTGGTCTCTCCAACACCGACACTGCGATGCCCACATTCAGTGGTTCCTCTTTCTGCCATCCCACAAAGGTTTTGTTTTCATTTGTAAAAGGGCAGGAACAGATCACAAAGGAAGAGCTGGAAGCGTTTTCCCAGCAACCTGCCATAGCACATTAACTGGAAAAGCAGTGAGGGAATGGTCCTCTGCTGGACCATGTTCATTTAAAAGAAAGCCAAGGATTGATTTCCGATCTCCTGCTAGAGTGTTCCAGCACCCAATCTCATTTATCTTCATACTGCAGCCATTTGTAAGAACATACACTACATGCACACAAAGCGCCCAGCAGCAAAGGAGAACAACAAAAGAGTAATAACCAAGGGAAAAAACTGACGTTAATGGGCACAAATTGCCTTTAACTCCACGATTTCAGAGGGAACTTTTTGGAATCCTTTGTTTCTTCATAATAGACAGGTCAGCTACAAAGCATTTAATAAAATCCACAGAGTCCTACCAGCCTAGTGTGGGTTTTGTTCAAGCCTTCAAAGATCTAATTGCTCTAGAGATGTCAGGTAATTTGATTTTTCTTATTTGTCAGGCCTTAAAGGGAAATTGTCCATCGTGGAGAATAAGCAGGACCGGGGCATGCAGTTTTCAACAGCCTGACTCATGATGACACCATCACAGTCAGCCAAGACACTCAAGACTTACAGGAAAAAGGTAAAATAAAGGCCCTTGCTCATGCAAGAGATGACAAGGTGCGCAGGTGGGAGGAGAATCTGCAGAGCTTAACAAGATAAAGTAATTTGAAAGCTTTTATCCAATTCGGGTTTGCAAAGGCAGCCAACTGGGCCACAGGGTAAGGGCTGTTCTCCCACCAGGAGATGCAGCAAACACACACTGCCCAGGAACCCCCCTGCCAAAGCACCACCCTCACCCAGGACACACAAACACAGTGCATAGACAGGAGGACCAAAAAAATCATAGCACATTTCTCGGAGCGTTTCTTTACTTACTCCAGTGTCTCCCTGAGCAGACACCCATCACAGAGAGAGACTGCAGTGGAAGCGAGCGGGATCTCAGCTCCACTGGCTGATTCCAAATGCCCCCACCAAACTCGTACCAGCTCAAACCAGAACAACAGTGACATGAAACACAAGGGGTGACACCCTGCCCGTGAGAGTCAAGTGCAAATGGGAGCCCCAGTCTCACTGTTGGCGTTCACAGAGGGAAATCCACCCCCCGGGCTGAGAAGCAGTAGAAGGGCCACAGTCTCCTCACATGCTGTTTCAGGGACATAGTGGTGAATTTCCCTTTCTCCTGAAGATTTCAGAGCCAGGCCTGCAAGGACAGGAGCTGAGCCCAGGGCTGGGCTTGGCAAGCCAGGAACAGCGGAGGTGTCACACGTTTCTTCAGCTCCAGCAGGCACTTTGTGTGTCCCTTCCAGCAAACACGGCAGCACCACAGAGCAGGGCACCCCTCCCCGAGCAGCACCCCAAAGTGGTGTCAGTCGGCAGGAGAGGAAACCAGACCAAGCCATAAACCAGGTCAGTGAGGCAGGGAGGACAGGCAGGTGCTTTCCCAGGTGTTGCCAATGCCTGTGGAAGAGCCCAAACCATAAAGTCACCACCGGCAGCAGTCGCTGTCTGGAGCGAGGTCTAAGGAGTGGGCAAGGGATGAGTGTTGGATCCAGGCAAAGCAGCTCCATCTTCACCTCCGTCAGCATCGTGTTCTGGTGTGGACACACCGTTTGCCTTTAAAATACATAAAGACAAAAGGTTTGTTTGGAAAGCAGTGAAGGGGAGATTCTTGACAAAGTTGTTTTACATTGCTTTTGCATGGTTGATGCCATTTTAAGAGCTTCCTACAAATAATAAAGAGAATATCTATGCATCATTAGTCCACACTCTGTCAGCAGTAAGGGCCCATTAAACTTGATTAAAGAAAGAAAAGACATGGGGAAAGAAATGTGGGTAGAAGGAGAAAGCAGCTGTACTGCTAGAACTGGTCCTCTGGTATGTGCCTCTCCCAAAGGGCCAGGTCAGACAGAAAGCTAAGCCTCAGTTCTCAAGGGCTTCTAAACCAGGTGACAGAGCAGACCTTCCATGTGACCCTCCTGCCCTCTGTGTGTCTGGGATATGGACAGGAGCCACAGCATTCCCATGGCTGGGAATGGGCTCAGGACAGCCGTGCTCTGCCACTAAAGGCACTCGGGCACATGTCAACCAGACAAACCTGAGCTGATCACTTCAGCACCCCTGGCAAAGCTCGGGCTCTGCTGGGACACGCTGCTTCTCCTCCTGGAGAAAGGACAGGGGAGTCACTGCATTCATGTGAAATGTTCAAGGGACAAAGAATCCGACAAATTCCTCCCACCAGCTGCCGCCTGACATCCCAGTTGAAAGATAACCTCCCGAGCCATAAAACTTCCCAGTGTGTTTACAGAGACTCCAAAACCCAGACTTTTAACTTCTGTATTACTGACTTCCCCTGCTCTTTCCTTTATGCTTTGTTTTGAAAGATGACATCAACTATTGCCCTTGGTGCTTTGTGCGAAATGCTGAATAGAAAGTTGGAAGCGTGAGGAGTAAACGTATTGCAAAGGGCAGAGAATAAGTCTAAGGAGGTGGGGGGCAGGAGGCCAGACAGGCTGTTTGATCAAAGACCAAAGAACAGACCTCTGCAATGTGAAAGAAGGCAGAAAAATAGGAGTTTCATCTTCACCAGCAGACTTGTTTCCAGATATATTGAGTGAAAGAGGCAAGAGAATGAATCTTTGTCATCCTTCTATTTTCAAGGAAAAAGCCTTCAATTTAAAACTCCATAAAGAATTACAGAAATAGGGAAAGTAATTTATTTTTTAGTAACTCCAGCCTTTATTCACTTAACTTCAAGGCGGGCTTAAAAGAGCTGAAAGTGTTTTGGTTCTACCACTTGAGGATGAAAATATTTTAATTCCCTAAAACATGGAAGGGGGCACACGCTTCTCCCGAGGTTCATATTTACAAATGCTTTGTATCTGGAATGCAAACCTTGAATCACTTCCTAACGCTGTCACTACCCAAAGACATGTTTTATTTATAAATACAGCAGGACCATTCGGTGCTCTGCGGTACGGATATGAGGAGGCAGAGACAGCTCAAAGCTTCTCAGCCATGAAGGCACAATTCAATTTTTTCACTCTGTGGAAGGCAGACAACTTCTCCTCGGCAAAGCCAGCCCTGGCAGACCACACTGCTTGGCTGTGGATCACGTGGATAAGGGAGAGAGCAGCCTGAAAACATTCAAGCAACTGTCTCACCAAGCACAGGAAAACAAAAGTCAGCTCCCCAAAGACTGCCATGAAGAAAGTCATTACAGAAATTACTATCCCATTTAGAGCCTAATTACTGTTAGGACAAATTTTTTTCCCTACATGGAAGGGAGCAGTCAGCCCCACTGAAGCAAAATGTTACCTCCTCATCGTCCCTGAGGGAGCAAAACAGGCATTTGAGAAACAGAATGGAAGGGAAAACAGAAGTTAATGCCTTAACTTCAAAGATGCCCTGAGAATTTCCTGCCACAAAAATAATGCCAAATGGCTCTGCCTGTCTCGTGTATTAACAGCTCGCATATTTATGAGAAAAGTGGATGCCTACCTCAGCTGGGGAGGCACTGAGCCACGGAGTGACACCACCTCATTTCTAAATCCAGTCAATTCCTGAAGGACAGGGCATAAATCTCCTCAAATTAAGAAAGCTGGAAGCAGCATTCCCTGTCCGTCTCCCTCAGCTCCAGGCCCTTTTCTCAGCTCTGCTCAGCCTCTCCCAGCACAACAGCTACAAAGCAGCTAAACTGGTATCCAGGAGCTACAGCTTCAGCACCCTGGGAGGAGGATCCAGGCTGGACCTGGTGACATCTGGGAGTCCTTCAGCAGGTCTCATGCTGTGACTGCAAGCCACAGCACTTCTTACACCCCATCATGGTCTCAGCTCCCAGGCTCAGCCTCACCACTGTTTAACGTGGCTCTGTTTAACCGTCAGCTGCTGCACCGCTCTTTAAGTATTAATGATTTAGACAACACACTGGCAAACAAGCAGAGATGGGGAGACTGTGATTTCCACTCAGATGGATGCTACTCACTCACTAGCTTCTCTCACGACTGTTTCTCGAATCTCCTGTTTTCAGCAGAAATTAGAGCTTTCTCCAGCCCCACAGCCCATGTCAGGCTTATTCACCACTCCCTACCAGCAAGCTGTTCAGGAGACCCATGGAATGGCAAAGAGGATTGACCCATTTCTGGGACAAGATCCTCACAGGACACTGAGGACCCCACTAACTGGGACCCATCAATGCAGAACTTGCTACTGATCTGAGGAGAGATGTCTTTTGCTTAATTTACCCCCTGCAGCAGCCCCAAGCTCAAACATGTTATCTCCATTAAAAACTCTTCACGGGCTAACGAAAACCACTGTGAGATATTGATTATTTCCTTGTTTCATTCTGTTTAATATTCCCTTTCCTTAATCAAAATGTCATAATCAACAACAGCGAGGATTGTGCTCTCTTTTAACTGAGGCACCTCTTAACATCAGCAGTACAGCCAGAACAAGGTGAGTCACCTCTCCCTAGCTGGGAGCAAGTAAGGGGAAAAAAGGAAGATTGTGCTTCTTCCACGTGTGCAAATTTAATTTTCTTTAGGATAAAACTTGCTTCAGGAAAATGAGCGCGTGACCTTCCTCTTAAAAGCTATCACGTCAGAGCAGGCACCTCCAGGAACTGGAGCTTCAGAAGAAGAAACACCAGTCCCTCAGAAAGGGATGCTTTTGAAAGGGTTTGAGAGCAGGTGGCTGAAAAAATAATAAAACTGGCAGGCTCTCAACTCACCGCTCTTCTGAAACTTTGGCTCATGGGCTGAGGTTGCCTAAATCCCAGTGCAGCTCTGACAATGAGTCATTTTATGACAAACCCCAGGCTTCATTATCTGCCTCACCAAACCCCAGCCGGAGCTGGAGCAATGCACTGGAAACCCACAACCTCTTTTTAACAGCTCCTTGTTTTCCTTTGGCCACACGACCATGCTGCCGGCTTGGCCTTCAGGCTTAAAGAGCTAAGGACTGTGAGAGCAGCCGCAATTTGCAGCACCACTCCCTAATTCCCTGTTCTGGACGTGGCCTGGGATTTAAGGATGCTTAAGTGCTCTGCAAAGTCACACTCGAGAGTGGAATTAGAGCAGAGGTGAGAAAAAGAAGCAGAAAGAAAGTCACTGGCAGAACAACACCTGAGGTGATAATATGAAGTAAAAATTGCTCCTGACATAGTGTTATAAAGATGCAGAGCCCTCCAGAGAAACTACAGCAAAATCTTCTTTCAATGTCCCCATTCTGCAGCCGAGGATCAGCAATTTAAATGATAAATGATCCTTGTCCCTTGCTCTGCTTTTGGGTCAGGGCAGACCTTGGGCACTGCCCCACAGGCAGGGAGATGCTGTGAAGGGTTTTGCCAGTACTGACATCCAGCACCAATCGACTCCACCCCTCCTTAAAGAGATGAACAGCAAGAGCAGCCCCTGCTTTTTGGCAGAGTGACATCCAAAGGGATCCATCATGAAGAACTCACTGCTGCCTCAGTACCTCCCTCAGGGCACCACAGAGCTCTCTTACCTGGGCTCTTGTCTGAACAAAGCAGCCCCTTTTGCAGGAAGACTGGGAAATAAACGACCCCAGACATAATAAAGATCTTTACAGCTACTCCCTAGTCAGCCAACCTGGCTTAACCTTTCCTTAACAGGATCCTCTCTACATCTCAGGGACAACTTTAACTGGGCTCATGAGACTGCTACAGTTTTCATTTTTTAAATATATGTCCATGCTGCCTGTCAATTTTAGCTCTCCCCCGCCTACATGGAGAGATCCCACTGGAAATCTCTGACCCCTTGTGCCAAACTTTGCATATGAAGTTTTTGGCAGGAAAAAGGCCATTTTTTTGCCTCTGAAATACTGTTTGCACCGCCATGGCTGGGGAGAAGTTGGTTCAAACAGGAGGTGGAGAAGCTCCAAAGTGCCAAGTACAAACACGCCTCTGGAGTGCATCCATCCAGCCTCTGGCATGGCCATGCAGCACCAGCAAGGAGAAGCACCCAAGGGGTCACACCTGCTGTCCACCCACATCCATTTCAATCCCACAGGACAACCTGCTGCTCTGTTCCACAGGCAGCAGAGCCAACACACAACGGGAATCCGCTGCCTCTAATGCCACAGCCAAGAGCAGCTTAAAATAAAACACCCAGTCCAGGGCAGCACTATAATCCACAGGGAGGAAGGACAGAACAGAAGTATCACTTGTTTGATTTGTTTTGTGAAAACTAAAATTGAAGAAAACTGCAAATCCCTGAAACTTGGGGAGGGAGGGAAGAGCAGAGAAACTATTTCATGCCAGCTATTTCTAGCAGGAAGCTGGGAAAGGGGGGGACTATGACTCCGTGTTGCACTGAAGGATAAACCTGCTCTCTCTAATCCAATTTATTCCTCAACATGTCCAGCACAAACCTGGCTCAGGAACAACAGGAGAGGCAGTTCAGAGGGCAGGAAGGCTTGGGAGGGAGCAGCACTAAACGTTTACTTGAGGGGTTAGTGAATAAATCAGTGGGAACTGCAGAGAGAACACATTTGCATCTCTTTCAGCTGCTCCCGATCAGATGTGATAGCAGCCTCTACTTTCCCAGTCACTTAATTGTTCTGAGGTTTTTGAGGGAGAAAAAGAGTCTTTTTTTTGCACTGCGGAGTTCTGGGAAGAGACACACTTGGCTTAAAGAGCCACCTTACTTTAGGGAAAATGTTATTCAGTCTCATAAAGCTGCTGGACTCCTGCTTTGCTTCAGGAGAAGCTCAATCTGTTCCACTGGCTCTGCAAGACAGAGAGGAGCTCCAGGCCTTTGCAGGGGGACAGATCCAGCCTCTGACTGCTCCTGGACGTGGGTGCAGCTCCCACCCCAGACAATTATTCATGTTGCAGAAGAGACTTTGCATTTGGGGAAGAGGGAAGGAGCTGTAAGGCTGTCACAGCATCTGCCACGAAAAAAACAGCAGGGAAAGGTGATCCCGAGCTATAGCTTTGCCAGCTGTGCCTCTGAGAAAGCTGTGCTTTGAGGGAAGTTAGCCCAGAAAGCAGGGATGTGCCCAGAGAGGAGGCTTGGCTTACCAGGGGCTCGGGTGGCAGCGTCGCTGTCGCGCCCGTCGGGCGGGTGGTCGCTGTGGCAGCTCTCCGTGGCACTGAGCTCGGCCCCCTGCTCACTGCCCAGGCTGCTGTGGCTCCCCGAGAGCACCAGGGAGTGGGTGCTGCCCAGAGCCCTGCCCACGGCCTGGCTGGACTCCCTGGTGGGCACTGCAGGGACACACAGAGATGCTGCTGAGAGAGCGGGAAGTGAGTGTAGATCCTAAGAGAGCAGCAGCCTCCCCGCTCCCAGCCAGGCTCCCTCAGGAGCAGGGTCAAAACCCAGCTCTTGAGCTTTGCTGCCAAAATGGCACCAGCAATTCCAGTGCTATAAAACCAGGAGTGAGGAGCTGGCTGGAGATGTGCAGCCGGGAGCAGCTCCCAACAGCAAGGGCAGGCCCTGAGAGGCTGCAGGCAGTGGAAAGACCCTCCACCTGTTTGATCCACTGATACAATTCCAGTGAGAAAGGATCAGACCCTCACCTGGCACAGCTACAGCCAGTAGGGCAGGCAAGTGGCTGAGCCAAGACCCCCAGTACTGAGAGGCAAACATTCAAGCACTTTACAATTCCCGCCCTCCAGCCACAAGGAACAGCAACTCCTCACCCAGTCCTGCTTGGAGCTTTCTCCCTTGTGAGCCTTTTGACCCCACAGGCACAGGCTTGTCATCCAGGCTGGAGGAACTGAGCTCCGAGTCGCTCTCACTGTCACTAGAAACCACTGCAGGAAAGATCAGGGGGAGGAGAGGAGAGAGACAGTTATTCACAATGTTCATAACACTTTCCAAAGAGGGTGCCAGATGGACCCAAATAAAACGCAAACAAACACTGACTCACTGGTCACGTTCCCCCTCTCCAAAAGGAGCCCTACCTGCAGTTCCCCCACAGCTGTTCACTCTGCATCTCAAGCATGGTGTGGTTTTACTTTCTACAGATGATTTATAACTCTACCGTACACGCTCCTGCAGCAGATGCACACACCACCGGTGCTTCTCTCCTAAACCTGACTGGGACCGTGGGGACCACAGTGCTCCTGTGCCACATTTTGCTGTGGTGTGGCTGGCCTGGGCACTAGGCTCTGTTCCCACTGACCCTTGTGGTGGCAGCCCAGCAAGCCCCCTGTTCCTGATGTTTGCTGTCTCCCACACAGAGCGACACTGGGTACGAGGCTGGATCCTGCTCAGCTGCAGGTGGAGGGGTCCTGTCTGCACCATAAGAGCATCCACACTTGAGTAATGTGGGGAGAGGGGTTGCCTTGCTCCAAGCTGCACTTCAAGTGTAGCAGGGTCTCTGTGGAGGTTCCAGGATGTAAGAGGAAAACACTAGATAAATACTGAGCACATTGAATCATCCCTATCAGCAAACTGCCCAGAACTGTGTTACTCCTACAACCCCAAAGCTTAAAAGGTAAGTGTCACTCCTCTTCCTCAAGGAGACTGTTCTCCCATTTCAAAACCACTTTTTTTATTCATTTTTTTTCTTCTCCCTGAATCCTGGCCCTGGTCCTGGCTGCTTTCCACCCTTCATAGTTTCCACAAGAGCTGAAGGAGCCTCATTTTGCCAAACACAGCTTCCCAAACTGGCAGGTTCTTTCCACTTTTCCATGCAATTATGCAAGCACCTCTCCTGCTTATACTGGTGTAAAAGATAACTGCCAGCTGCTCTGGGTAAAATGAGAGAAATGGGTTTTTTCCCAGCTCCTGGGTTTTTGTAATGATCTGATCTCAAACAGAAATGATGGGGCTGAGGAGGAAGGTAATGGGAAAACAACTGTCTTTTGTTTGAGGCATTGCACCTACAGCACTTCTCCATCTGACCAGGTAGATACCAGCTCTCCTGGTAGCTCAAAAGTCATCTCAAACAGCAGGTCACAAACCCTGGTAAAAAGAACAATATTGGTCCATGTGGGATAATAGAAAAGGCAACACTGCAACCTACAGCCTTTACTGTAGAAAAAGGAAACTCCAGCTACTTTTTTAGACTCATCAGTATGTCTTTATAAGCTCACATTCATGTGAGAAACAAGTTCCTTGTTCTGCTACTTGAAGAAACCACTTTGCCCCCGCTCTGTGTTACTCACTGTGCAGGAGGAACGTGGGTGCAGTGGTACAAGGTGACAACCACGGGGTAACACAGAGCTGTCAGTTCTAAAATTCACTACATGTAGTTCACAATCCCTTTAGCACTCCCCAGGGCAGGAGGACAGGTATCCCTCCTCTTGCACAGAGCACAAGCTGTCAAATGTTTCTGCCAAGGACCTCTGCAGACACTCATGTATTCAGGCAGGGATCTGTACTACACAAAATATTTTATTTAGAAAAAAAAATATTAATACCTAAAGTAGCACTTTTCTGGAGTTAACATCTCTGAGGATATTAAAGTTGGTTGCCAGTGTTATTGCACAGCTTTATTGAATTTGCCCTTGCAGGCAGCTTCCCATGCATACTTGCTCCTGTGCAGCCTTTCCCTGGCACTGGCTTCTCCTGCACCCCCAGCCTTCCCCTCCCACCATCATCAGGAATAGGACCTCTCACCTGCAGGGAAAGGGGCTGTGGAGCTGAGCTGGGCAGGGAGTGAAGCCCTGTTACAAACTGGGGGGCTGCAATGCTGGCTGAGAGTCCTCAAAGCAAAGGTCTGGCTTTGTTGTCTTAACAACAACTTCACTCCTTCCCCAAAACTTCCTGGGAGAGGCAGGGGATTATATATAAAAACTGTTAATAACAACCCATACATACCAGAATGCATTTTTTTTTCACTATAAAATCCAAATCTTGGCTGTAAGAGTCATTTTGACCATCCCATTGCTCAACTCCCTCAGAAAATGAACTCCTGTTCCACTTGGTCATTATCCTTTTTTTGGCCACAGAGATGCATAAAATCCATTGCTTTAGAACAGCTCCTTCCTCCATGAATCCTCTCAAAATGCTGGAAGTCAGGATTTATTTGGAGAAGGCTCCAGTGAATCAGTGGAGGTGACTTTAGCTGCCTGCCCTTCTGCCATTCAGTAGTTCAGAGAGAACCAGGACAAGAGGAAGAAAATATTAATGGCATGAAGGCACTCACACCACAGGAGCAGCCCTGTCTGCTCTCATTTCCTCTGCTGCCAATAAGAGTGTATTTTACTCACTGCACCAATGTTTCCCTTTAAGGTAATTCTTCATCCAAAGCTCCCAGACCTTCTGCTGGCACTTTCCAGAGCCCAGAAGTATTAAATCTGGTGTTCCAGCAGTTGCTGATATATCAATAAGAGTCGTTGGACAGCTGTACTTTGAGAGAAGGGAACAGATTTATCCCTATCTCCAGCTGACTGGAAAAAAAGCTCATCAAAAAAATATGCTGAGATAAAACTTGCTAGAAAAGCAGTATTCCCACAGGGAATGGGTCACTCATCGAGGGCCTGAAGCCCTGCAGCTGCTGGCAGAGCCCACGATCCCTATGGCCCGTGGCTCAATCTCAAGCCAGAGGCATTGGAGCCTTGTGGCACAGAGAGCCACAGGGAATGGTGGAGGGCTGCTGGCTGCACTTAACCCCAGCAGCAGAGGACTGTGGGGGGAGGCTGTGCTGAGGCTGGGAAGAAGGAGCATTTGGCTGGGGCTGAGCTCTGTTAGTCAATGCGTGCACTTGGCACGGGCACGGCTGCGCTGGGAAGAGCCAGCCACGCTCCCTCCTGCTGCCCGGCACAGGGCAGAGCTAAGCCCCGGCACACACCACACTTGGCGCTTCCTGCAGCTGTCAAAAAACACAGGAAAAGCACAAGGACACCCTGCAGCAACAGCTTCAACAGCAACACACCCCTGGGACAGCTCAGAGGCACCGGGTGAGTGGGCTGAGCACGAGCCCCTGAGCACACAGATCCCCTGCGGCACCCGGATCCTTGGCACACACAACCTTCTGGTCCCTGCAGGTGGGACAGTCAGAGATGATGAGTATTATTACAACCCAAGTGTCTCACTGAGGGCAGCTCCTGCACTGGATCACACCCAGCACTGCCCACAGTTGCAGGAACATCCCTAAGCAGGAGGAGGGGACTGGACTAAACCGCTCTCCCTTTCAGGAACAGCACAAGTTGCAGCTTTGTCACTGTCCAAAGTTGTTGGCAAGTTGGAGGACCCCCCTTGGTGGCCTGCTAAGCTGTTGACATGCCCCAGCACACTCCTCTCTGCTCCATCACTCAGGGATTTGGCCTCCAGCACACAGACACTGGATGAACCCATGGCACCCCCCTGCTCTGCCACTGTCCACCCCCCTGCTGGTGCCACCAGCACCAAGCACAGCATATTGCATTGCTTGGCAACACAGAGCAGCAGGCAGCCCTCATGCCAAATAGTACAACAGCTCAGGGATCACACTTTTTTTTTTCCACCCAGATGCTTTCCATTTTTTTCTGCAGAACTCAGAGTTTGGAAGAAGGAAAGCCCTGCTGCTATTGCTCCCCACTCCCTGACGCCCCGTCCCGCCTGACCCGGTGCAGAATCCCACCCACATTCCACCACATGGAGCAGAGCTGTTCCCCAGCACAAGAAATATTACTGCTGTTCTCTCCCTGACAATACATTTGTGCCTTAACTAATAGCAGAGTTCCCATGGCAACTGCTTGTTTATTACAGAAAAACTATAGGCAACAGCAAATCCCAGTGTCCGTGAGCACAAGAGAAACACTTGGGTGTGCAAAAATAAAACTTCATCCTTGTGGGGTTGGCTTTTTTTCCAAGAGGTACATTCCTGTGCTCACTTGGTCCTGCTGCAGCGGGAGCAGTCAGTACTCAGGGCCTGGCACTAATCCCTTGCTTTTGAAGGGGGGAAAAGGGACACTTGAAGTTTGTCCTACCCCTGCTGAAAGGCAGCTCCTGGCATGGAGGATGTCCAGGGCTTGTGGCAGGATTTGGCTACGCCTGTGCTGGTCCCACCTGACTTGAATCCCTCAGTAGCTCAGAGCTGGCTCCTTCAGCACACTGGAGGTGAGTGGAGGGGTTAGACATGGTTTCCAAGATAATGGAAACCCCACGGAGAGCAGCCTGTCAGAGGCAAGTATGTTAAATGCCAGAGCTCATTCCCGAGAACATCCTGCCAAACAAGCAACAGGGCTTTCCTCAGCGTCGAAAGGATGTGTTTAGATGAGGGTGTACAAGGTGTGAGCTGACAAATGCTATCAGCCAGGCAGGGGTGAGCCAGGCTGCCCTGTTAGTCACGGCCTTGGAAAGCTCAGTCCAGGCCCAGCTGTGGATTCACAATGGCAATATCATGGATACACATCTCCACGGGGGAAGGCGGCTGCCCTGCACAGGGCACAGCTTTGGGATGACAAACAGCAGGAGCCTCAGCACTGGCAGGGGAAAAAGAGTTAAATGGAGGGGTGAGGTGTACGAGCTCCCAGCTCCAGAGTTGAATTATAGCCCGCAGTGCCCACTGAGAGCCGTCCAGAGGACAGGCAGCCTAACAGAGAAGGGCAACAGGGAAAGAAAGCACCAGAAAATAAAGCCATAAATTAGTATTATCCAACCCATAAAACAACAGCCAGACAAACATCACAGGGCAGCTCGTCACCCACATCAAAGCTTACCAAAGGTCACTTTGCTGTCCTCCCCCATGCTCCTCTGCTGTCCTTGCCAATATTTATGGGGAGGCCTGCTCCAAAAACTAAACTCAACTAAAAAGCCAAACTAAACAGCAGGTCAGGTCTAGGCTCAAAGGCTTTGATTCCTAATGTTTTCTGTATCATGTTAACGAAAAACAACCTCATCAATCAGTCTCTTTGCTAAGACAACTCCTTCCAAGCATCTCCTGGAGGGAAGCACAACCATCTACTGTTGATCTAATTTGTCTTTAATTACAAAAGTTACAGTAGGGCTGGGAGTGCTTTCCTAGCTGGGGCCTGAAAGGAAGGTTTGTAAACCCAAGTCTCCTGAGCCCTCTTTATTAAAGGGTTATTTCCCCCTGCACCACTGGTAAGTGGAAGAGTGCATGCGGCTCGTTTGCTGAAGAGGACTTCTCCAACTGAGGGGATCTAACAGCAAAAGAAGGGGAGAGAGGCCAGATAGTTCTGCTAATCCGCACCAGAAAAAAAGGAGGAGAAATCAAAGCAGACTGGCAGCAGCTCTAATTCTGCAGCATTCAGCCACTGCTGTGCTGAGGACCCCGAGCACTCTGCTCCTCAATGCTGAGCTGCTGCGTCCCCCCCACTGGCTCTGGGCACAGCACTGAGGTGGGTGTGTGAGCAACAACTGGGTGGGCAGATGGAAGAGAGGGGGAGGAAAAGCCCTACAAGGCAGTGCTGTGAATGGGATCTGACAGGGCAGCGATCCAAGATGCGATACAATGGTCTACTTCAATCAAGGTCTCCCCCAAAGAACAGAGATGTGAGCTGAAGCTAATAAACCTTCAGGCTTGTCAGTGCTCTGGCCTCAGCCCTGCACAGGGCCAAGTTAATCAACAGCTTCTCCAAGAGACATTTAAAGGACAACTCAGCCTTGAGCTCTCCATGCTGCAAACCTCAGCCCCCTCCCCAAGGCCTGGGGACAGAGGTCACTCTTCCCTGACACCTGCTCAAAGGGTCAGGCACAAAAGGACACAGCCAGTAGCAGTTCACTCCTGCCCACTGCCTGTTAGAAGAGTGTCTCTGCCCACTTGCTCCAGGCCCCAGGATATCCCCAGGGAAATGCTGGCGGTGTTATTTTCTAACTCATCTCAAAGCAAGTTGGAGGATCTGCCCAGGGATGTTCTGCAGAGCAGCAGAAGCAAGGAGCAAGCAGCCCCAAGGAGGGAGGAATGAGATCAGCCTTTGGTCAGCCTTGGCTGCACAGCAATGTCCATCAGTGGCACAATCCCAAGGAGTTCAGCAGGAGCAGCTCTTTGGGCTGTGACTGCAGCCAGGTGCCTCTTCCACGGCTCATCCCACCCTTGGCAGTCCCAGAAAAACAGCGGGAGCTGCAAGGAACGGAGGAAAGCAGGGAGAGACTGAAGGAACAGGAGTTCAGGAGGACTGGGACTAGGCTGGGCCCTGCACTTAACTAACAGTGAACCCTGAAAAAACATACAAGAGCATAAAACCCCAGCACTGCCCACATAGGAAACACACCCCTTGTGGGATAACCCTCATCTCTAACAGAGGGTCTCCCCTATTAGCTGAACCCTCCTAGCAACAGTAGAAGCCAGGTCCTTCTCCCACCTGCTTTCTGGGCCTTTTTGGGCAGCAGACAACCCACCTTTTCCCCTGGCCCAGGTGAAGGATCGGCTGGTCCCGACGCTCTCCGACTCCGGCATGGCCAGCTCGCTCTGCCACGGCTGCGAGTGCAGCTCAATGGGTTTGCTGCTGCTCTTCAAAGGTGTGATGTACTTGGGCAGCCCTTTGTAGAACCACGCCCCAGACCTCTTCCAAACCTGCCAGAGACAGAGACACAACACCTTAAGCCTGGGTTTTTACAGCAAGAGAGCACAAACACCACAAAATGAGCTCCCCACCAAGCTCAGCCCAGCCATTCCCTGCGAGCTACCTGGACCCCACTCAAACACAGGGAAGTCGACACTTCCAGCTCACAGAGCCCAACAGTTCCCCTGCAATCTGCAATCTACCATAGCATCCCAAATTCCTCCCCAATCCTTGTCAGCCCAGTTCTACCTCAGTCCTTCTCCCACAACCAAAAAATGACAAATGTGAATGAGCAGCAGCCACAGATTGAAGGAGGAGCAGAAGGTGATTGTGCAGAGCTTCTTATGTTCTCCAGGTCATGACTGGATGTTTCTCTGATGCTATACTTGAGCCAAATACACGTTCCTAGACTTACCACACTGGGATGAAGTTCCCTGTCCTGCACTAAGCAGCAGTTCAGATTCTGCATCTATTGCTCTCCCACTGGGAATACACAATAAGAAAAGCACCCTGGAGAGAGCAGGCCGGTGCCATGAGTGGCAACAGCCCTAAGCACATGCTCTGCTTAGAGTGAAACAAGCCCTGCACTGGCTGGAGGAGCAGAAAGCCCTGACAAGTCTCTCTTCCTGAGATGGGTCCCTCAGCCTGGGTTGCTTTACTTCTGAGAGTTGAAGTCTGGCAACAGCTGGAGAATGGGACAGCAGAAATGTCCCCTCGTATCGTACCGAATGGCACAACCTCAGTGTTCATCTCACAGAGCAATTCAGGCCAAGCCAGATCATTTAACGAGCCTGAAAACCCCAGAACGAGAAGAACAACACTCAAATAACCTGAACCTGGAGCAGGAAATGGACTGCGAGCACTAAACTGTAATATCTCCTGTAAGAATGGCCTCTCCTCTCCAATTTAGTTTTAATGCAGCTTATGATGAAGGCACTCTATTAAGTATATTTAATATAAAGCCTGATGTGAGCCAGAGGAAGGGAAAAGGGTGGCAGCTCAGACAAGGAGAAATGGCCTCTACAAACCTAATTCTTTCGTGCCTTTCAGCAGTCTAATAATGAGCTAATGAGACAGCCAGGGCAAAAATACGTTAATATAATAAAAATATCATTTTTTATTTCATGCAAGGAGGTAGAAACCTTGCACTGTTGTTTAGAGTGAAGATCAGTGTTTTCACTCCAAGTTCCCAAAGCATTTTGCAAACAGTATCACCATTATGGCAATGGGCGCAAATGCAGATACCCCTAATTGCAGATATACGTTTGTAATTTGCATTTAGGGCTTAATCAGAGGGCAGTGACAAAACCTGGCACTCAGGAGTTCTCCTCATGCAGGCACAAAAAGCAGGACACCAGAGGTCCCATTTCACTGATGGGAGGAGATTGCTCAGCAGGTTGCCCGGTTCCTCGTTCAGAGCCATCAACACAGAGAGTTCAGATCTCTGTGTCTGGGGTCTTGAAAGCCAAGTGATGGCAATCTGAACTCAGGGGGGAACCTGAGAGTAAGGTTTTTAAAAGAGCACCCAGCAGAAGACAGCAGAGCATTGCTGTGACCCAGCACACACATCAGTTACTCTAAGACTGCAAGAGAGACACTTGTGCAACACAGCAGGATTTAGAAACCAGTAGGTGAGAGCACCCTACAATTACACCAACATTTTCCTGGTGGGTGACATCCCAGACGGATGGTGAGGCTCACATCCAAGCAAATAGCTGGGAAGACAATTTCCCAAGACTGCAAGTTCTTCTACAGAGGGGGGGTCTTGGCAGGCAGGACACTTTACCAGCTCCTTCACCACTGTGCCAACAGCCACAACAGTGACCCAGTCAGTCAAGGCACAAGCTGACACAGCTCCTTCTGTCCCCTCTGCCAGCACGTGGGGACTGCACAGCCTTTGGTACAGTGTGTACAACAGCATACGTCAGTGCAGCACAGAGACCCCGGAGCAACAGGCTCTTCTATCCCTGCAAACCCAAGAACTGGGAAATGCAATATATTTTTTAAGTCTGGGACAGACAGCTCTGCATGGAGCTTAGCCCACTGCAACTCAGGTGAAGATGCACCATGCAGGAGCTGCAGGCTGGGTAAGCCCTGGTCTCCCTCATGAGAGGAAGGCTGGAGGCTTTGGGAGCAGCTGCACACACAGGACACAGTGGGAGCACAGGGACTGTGGCAGGTACAGGGTTTGCACCCTGAGCAGCGCCACGGCTTGAGGAGGGCAGGTTGTCCATCCCCTGATGCTCAGTGAGTAGCTGGGGCACACATACCTTCCCTCTATAAACTGCTGGGGAGGAAACAACCCTCTGGTACAGCCGTTCTCTGAACAGACCTTGCAACATCTGTAATTTAATTTGAAGCACTGGAGAGACCTATTATCTTCAGGCGAACTACAATTTAGGCACACCATAAAACCAATCAGACACAGCACGGATTGCTGCAACAAAGGCTGGTCGCCCCCAGGTTTCTCACTACCCCAAAGCAAGTCGTTATAGAAAGAGTTAATGATATAATACACCCAGCTCTGATGTGGTAATGATAGTATAAAATTGATTCTCTGCATACATATTCGCTTTAAATTGGTGCCTCTAATAGAGTTTGGTCTTATTACAGCAGCACTGAAATAATTTTGAGATCAGCTCTAAAACAGCTGCAGCAAGATGCTCTCCCCTGTATGAATTCAGTCCCTCTGCCACCCCAGTTTAGCAGCACGGCCCATCCCAAACCACCACGGATCACGTTCTGTTCTGCACATAGGCACAAGGGGCAGTTTTAGTACCCATGCATCAAAACAGATCGATGCTGCTGACTGCTATTGATGGCAGTTTGACTGATCTCAAGAGTGGCCTGACAGCAAAGTTCTTGCTTGATTTTAAATTAATAAATCTGTAATGGTGCTCCAAGAATAAAACTCCTCTTTATTAGCAGGAGCTGACTCTTGCCAAGGAGGAGATAACATTGCTCCCACCAGTCCCGTGTCCCATGGCAGCCTGAGTTTGGGTGGAGCTGGAATTTCACCAGCCAGCCCCTTCCAGTCTCTTGCAACAACCCAATTTTGAGGAACATTGATCATCCCTTGCTCTGAGTGCTCGACAGAGGGGAGTAAAGATCAGTATCTGCATTACTCCAGATCGGGATGGGGTGGCCCTGTTTGGGGCTCAGGACAGAGCAGCCACACCACAGTTCACCATCTGTCCACGGTCCTGAGCTCAAACTGGCCCAAACACAACCAAAAACCACACTAAACACCAACTCCCTTCAGGCTCCTTGTCCTTCTGCCTCCCCTGACACCTAAATTACTCCAAAGCAAAGCAGGTGAGGAAAGCTATTCAGCACCACGCTCCTTTTATTACTTCAAACCAATTTAACAGCCACAGCCATGACAAGTCCAGAGGGCTCAATGCCTTTTATAACACTGATAATATTCCTATTAAAGTTGCATCAAGCCATCATTACAGCTACAGGATGAGAAATGCAGAACCAGATGTGTATTTTATCGAGCACTTTCAAGTGCAGCCTGTAAATGGGACCTAACAGAGAATTGCTGGGCCCTGGTGAAACCCATGTTACTGCTCAAACTTCTCTGAGCATACAAGTGCTAAAACAGGCTCCTAAACAGGGAAAACATTACGACCTGCTGATGAAGGGATGGGATCACAGCTGAAGGAATCATAACAAACACTTGCAGCCCCCCCAGAGTTCTCTTCACCAAACCAGGTCCCCTAAACAGAGCTGCTCTTGCTGCAAAGCCACATTTTGCTCTACCACCTCCTGCTTGTGCCACATGGTCGCTGTTCTCACCCTGCAGCCCTTTCCTTCACAGCAGTCCAGGCTTGGTGAGAGGAAAACCACTACCTTTAGCTTCCCATGCTGACACCAGCAATACCGCTCAAACCCCCCAAAAAAGTGGGGGAGCAGGTTCTCGTGGGCTACAGTGAAGAGAAAGGCACCTGCAAAGCACAGCCACCCCGGGAGCACCTCGCTGCCATCGCCTGCAGGCAGCACATGCCCACACACTCACTTTGTCCCAGCTCTCCACCACGGCTCTGGCACGCTGCAAACCACTGGCAGGGAGAAAGAGCGAGCGCTCTTCAGCTTCGTTATTTGCATTCATCTGCTTTTCCATAACACAGAGATTTCCAATTACATTATTTACAGCAATCTGTTGTCAACTCCCACATTCGGCACTTGAGGATGAAGAAAATTAAAAGGCAGTGGAATTACTATTCGGAGCTTTGTTTCCGGAATAGCAAAATCTATCGCACCCCTGACCCCGACGCTTCTCAAGCTGCAGTGGCTGCCAGCCTTCAACAATTTATCATTCCCCTTTCAATCAGGCCTCTTTTTTTTCCCCCGGGGCTCTATTCTAGAGGACACTATTTTGAGTCTAACTACTTGCCACCACCCCCAAAATAATATGGCAGAGGCTATTGATGAGTTCTTTCAATTGCAAACAGGTGCACATCCCTCCGGTTCAATCCGGAGTCACCCAAAATAAACACTCCCCTCCATCAGTGTGGTGTTTTGCCAAGAAACCATCATGCCAGGCAGGAATAACCCCGGGCTATGTGGCTTTATAATGCTCAAAACGGTATGAGTGTGTATGTGAAAAGGGAAGCCCCGGGGGCAAAAGGGGAGGAGATGACTCCCATTCCTCCAGCCCGCCCGATGTTCCTCCTCTGCATGGTTTATTGTGATAAACTGAGAAATGCAGCCAGCCATGAAAACGCTGTTTAGTGGAGGAGAAGAAATTAAAAGGAAAGTGAAGCAGAGAGGGCAAATTAAAACTTTTAACAGGTCCCTGATAGCTGACACTCTCTTTCATATTCAATGGGGTTTTAAAAAAAAAAAAAGAAAAAGCTCTCTCTCTCCCCCCACTCTTCTGAAACCGCTTTCATTATCGCTACAATTTTGGATGTGTCAATTCAAATGTAAATGTGCAAGAATGCTTCCAAGAGGATTTTAATTACGATGATAGCATCGCTAATTATGGATATATAAAAAATAATATATATATAAAAAAAGGGGTAATTCGGGAAGGTGCTTTGCAGAACCTGGTGGTATCAGTCAAAACAAGGCTGTGCAGAGAGTTAAGCGGCTGGGCAGGGATTTGACAAAGCACAGCAGGTCCCTTTTTCCCCTTCAGGCCAGGAGGTGACAGGCAGGATCCAGCCACACGCGACTAATTCAGCATGGGCACTGCTGCCCAAGCTGTTATCAAGCTCACGTGCTCTGCTAGAGGCCTGGCAGCAGGGAATCATTCCAGCTGTATATATATCCACCACTGCTCCTCCCAGGCAAGTCCTGCTCCTCTGACAGCTGCTGCAATAAGCCTGTTTCACTGGAGGACCTGCTCCCTTTCTCATTCCCATGGGTGCTTCACTGCAAAGAGACTCACTGCAAACCCACAGCCAGTGTTTGCTGTAGTCAGGGATCAGCACCCCTACCATGCCATGGGATTCTATACACAGGCAGGAACAGGACTGCCCCTAGGAGGATCAGCCCTCCGTGCTGTCCTCAGAAAGGCAAAGCAAGATCAAAGCCAAGAAAGGTGATGCAGCACATGGAGGAGGGAAGTAGGAAGGGAGAGTCTTGCCCTCAAAGCTGAATGGAAGCTTGATCAAATTTGTTTCTACCCTTGCTTGCCGGAACACTAAATCACAATCCACATCAGCTTTAATTCCACTGACCTCTGAAGACATTGCAAAGAAAAACAACCACAGAATCCTGGAAGAAAAAAAGAGGTTTTTCCACAGCTGCCTCTGCAAACACCTGGGACAAGTGGAATCTCCAACAGGCCAGTTCTGGCCTGCAGCAGGTGAGCTCTGTCTTATTTCAGGAAGAAGAGATGCACTATTGATGGAGGACTGTCTGCTGGTCCTTGGGGATGCTCTCTTTGCCAAGAGGAACATCCAGGCCCTGTCAGGTCCTGGCCACATTAGAACACAGTACTTTCCTCCCAGCTCCTCCTGGCCCCTTGGAGACCCTCACCCTGTGCCCATTCCGCGTGGCAGCTCCAGCAGTGCCAAAGGCTCTGCTTCATTTCTGGATCACTGGGATGCACAGCAGCAGGCAGAGCCCATTACTCACCTCCACTCTCCAGAAATAAGACAGTGTCAGAGCAAGTTGTTCCTCATCGCTATGCAGCACAGCCTTCCCAGTGGAGGTTTTCAAGGAAGCAGAAAGCAGCATGGAACACCTCTGAGTGGCTGAGGCTGGGATTCCCAAAGGGATCTGTGGACACCAAGCACTCGATTCCAGCTGAAGAACTCATCTAAACAACAGCTTGCTACTTCGGTCTTCATTTGACCCAGGCAAAGTGATGATTTAATCATCACTGGAGTCAGCTCAGATTCTGTCCACACGGCAAAAGGGGGAAATGACTGCCACACATCACTAAACTTACGCTGGTTTAAATCAAGCCTGCAGGGATAAATAATGATAAGGAAGGTGGAGGGATGAAAGCTTTGGCATGTAGGAACAATGCCCCACACTGCAGCTGTTAGCTAGTACATGGGAATGTCCAACCCCACCATCCTGGCCTGAGAGCCTGGTGGGACACAAGTGCTCATCTAGTGCATGGCAGAGGCTAAGGGGGACAATTACAGTCCAAGGCTCTCCTTCCAGCCAGATGACGCTGATTAACTCCAGCCAACACCATTTAGTCCATTTGGGTTTCCAAATGACCTCCCCTTCCCACTTCAGTGCCTGGCAGTCTCTCACTAACAGAGTCAAGAGCTTCACCAATATCATGCCCAAATAGCTTGAGCGCTGGTTCAGAAGATCAGACGGCGATCAAAGTGCTGATGTGGAGGGAACCACCTCACCTGGAAACACCACATCCCATCACACACCTGGGGAGGGGGACTCTGCACCAGTATCAAACACTCACCCACTACAGTGGTCAAGTTCAGGCATTGCCAGAGGTCTGTGGCCTGGGACCAGCCTTCCTTAAGTCCATATCTGGTTGGCTAAAGGAAAACCTTGCTCAGTGCAAGGTTTGCACCTTGCTCAGTGCATGCTTTGCACCGACAAGGGGAGAGAAGAGGAGTGATATGGACTTGTTACTCCATCACACAACCCCAAGTGCTCCAGGGCATTCCTGAAGCTCTCTGCTTGGATTCCAGGAAATAAAATGGGGCTGATACCTAATCACCACATGAGGGATTCAGAGGTTTAGACAGAAATGAGGCTATCTGATCCCAAAGAGCAGACATCCATCTGCACTCATCGACAGCAAATATCACCTGCAGCAAAGAGCATGGCCAAATGGGTTTGATCCAGAGCAGATGGCAACACGAGACAGAGTCAGACCACAGAAACAGACACCAACAAGGCACTGGTTGTCAACACAAGCTCTTAAAAGAAACCCGTTAATTTAGTGCATGCCCAGTAACATCATTACACCTGAACCAGCTTCAGAGACTGCACTTGTACCAGCCACCAGCCCGAGGCCCAAGAGCCTCATCTCTTCCTCACACACTTAGGGAAGACCAAAGCCACTGATCAAAGCCACTGATCAAAGTCACTTTCCAGGCATTTATTCTGATTTGCCTCAACTTCCTTGCCCTGGCTGACATGCCTCAAGGCTCCTGCTATTTCTCAATTCCCGATTCCCTCAAAATAAAGGCAGGGCATGTGGGAAGACAGAGGGGATGTATGACTTGATGTCTGGCTGCGTGTCCACACTGTGACCCTTCCAACCTTCTCCTGTTCAGGGCACCAGCACGATCACAAACAAGAAAGGAGACAGACCCAAAATGACCTTAAAGAGAATAGAAAAACAAAGCAGAAGCTTAGAGCTGGGAGGCTCTAAGATGGGGCTATATTTTAGTTAGTCTAAGAAGGAAAGTTCCATCCATTTCCATCAGGAAAGCACTTTGGTTGTATCTCAGGTTTCACAGAGAGAGCAAGTGCTGAAGGTTATCGTACCCTCACACACTGGCCACAGGTAACACATACCAGACAGGTTAATATTCTCTGTCCAGGGACCAGGGTTCCTTATTGTTTTTTGAAGAAATAGGAAAAAAACCCAGTTGTACAGACTGAGATAAATAAAAACCAAAAAACACAGAAAAAAACAGACCAAAAGAAATAAAGTAAATTTTAGCCCCATACCCATTTCCCTGCAGAGCACAGAAAATACATACACCTGCCTCACACTCTATTTTGGGATCTCTGTCCGGAATTCAAAACATCTGGATGATTCAGTGTATCAAATTATTATCAAAATCCAAGGAGCTCCGCCTGCCCTACCCACACTGCTGTTCAAAAGTTATGCATCCCTCATCCTGCCTGAACACGGGCTTTGCGAGTGCTCCCACACAAACAATCCCCTCCAATGGAAAACCCAAGCAATGCTGAGTTTCTGCAACTAGTATAAAAAAAAAAAATTTCTGCCTCTCTAACACCTGCACAAACGCTGTCACTACGCCTCAAAAATTGATTTAGCAGAGCACCCAGGTTACACACTCGGTTGTGCTGGTCAGAAACAGCTGCACTGGATTGATGCTCAAGGACCACAAGCAAAAGACCAAAATAGATTGATGGGAACGAGTGAAAATCTGTCTGTGATCACAGAACAAATTCGTGGACTTCACCACAGAGCAGCGAGCCCTGATGTTGGTGGATGCTGGCTGGCAGACAAGAATTGAGGCAGCCCATTATTTTTTTGCAGTGCAAAGTCGAGGATGAAGGATATAAAAATCTAGAGAGCTGCATTATAAGTCTCACACTGGCAAGTTATGGGATTTTGCAGGCAGGGAGGAAAACAGATTTAAAAGCTGCAATCCTAGTTATTTTTAGAGGGACAAATATTGCAGTTACGCTCTACATCTCTGAAGCTGTATTAAAAAAACAGTTAGCCAAATTTATTTGCCACAGAGCCAGGAGGGAAAGAGTGTAAGGTAACAGTCTCTTTATGGCCATGGCTAGAAAAATTCCACAAAGCCATACAGGCTCCAGGTGTCAGTGAGGTTTTTCTCCTCCACCCCCTCATAAACCAAAGTTGTCACCACTGTGTGTGTTTGAGCCTGCCTGGCCTCCAGCCAAGCCTCCCAAACCCCATCCCAAGCTGCCTCACAAGTGTCCAGGCACAGGGAAAAGCTCAGGCAGGCTCTGCACAGACTTGGGGCAGGTAGGTGAAAGCTGCTGAGCCCCATCTCTCCACAGCTGAATTTTACCTCTCTCTGTTCACTGCAGATCTTGCACAACCAAAGAGGACGTTTCTGGGCTCCAATGGTTTCTATTCCACACTTGGTGCAAACTTTCTGAAACAAGGAGAGAGACAGAGAAAAAAAGTGGTGTTGGCAACTCCCCACAGCCACAGAGCCCCTGGGAGAGAGAAGGATGAGAAACACCTCTCCCAAGAGCTCTGTTCTGCTTTCCTTAGAAACCTAAACATGGCACAATTTTCTTATTTATCCTGGAGAACCATTCATTGCAGGAAGCTGCTTCAGATCTATATGGACATGAGACAAAGGCAAACCTACAGCACAGCCCTTGACTCCAGAGAAAGAACTGCACAGGGCAAATCAAACCTCATGACCCACAGACATATTTCCAGAATGTTTTTTTTTTTATTCCTCTGAATCCTAAACCCAATCTCTGTAGCATGGAAAGCAGCTGTAACCAAGCACAAGACTGGAAATCCTCTCCTCCCCTCCCTCACACACACAGTCTTAAACCCCACAGCTTCCCCTCCAGTTCACCACACGCTCCTTGCTATTGATTTGTGATGTTTAGGAAGTGGGCAGGACCACAGCTACACACACATTTCCTGAATGCCTGACAGCCCTTATTGCTGCACAAGGGACCTTTCATGTCTCCGCTGGCATTACAAGCCATTTACAACCTGAATCACCTAATATTATATAATGAAGCTGATGCCTATCAGCCTTGGCATACAGCTTGAATGAGAAATTGGATGGATTCTTTGATCCTCACAGAGCAAAAGCCACTCGCAAGAGGGCTCTGGAGAGCAAAACCTTGCTGAGAAATACATGAGAATTTGATATCCCCAAGTAAGGTCTTACATATCCCCCTAACCAGGCTCCCGTGAGCCTGGAGGTCTGTGTCCAGGGACAAAGGTCTCAGTGGCTCAGTCAGCCCCCAGTGCCCAGGTCTGGAGGAAGAGAGTGGCAGAATGATGGTACCTGAGGCAGACTAAACACCCAACTGTTTTGGTCAGTGTAGTCCAGAGGAAGGTCTGTTCCCAACTCATGCTGCACAGAAAGCAGGGAGGCACCAGCAGCCCCCACAGAGGTTGGTGCTCTTCTCCATCTTGCTGTTCCTGCCCTCATTCTCACAGGGAAACAAGGAACAACCTATTGGGTCTGGTGCATCAAAACTCAAGCCAAGGGGGATTTGCAGATTCAATCAGCAGACACCACCTGAGCTACCCCCAACTCTCCCTGCCTCAAACCAAAATCTGAGGGAGGAACTCAGTTTGAAATACCCTCAAAGATCCCAATCCCCACACGAATAGCACATTCAAACGCTCCCTCTAGTGGAAGCTTCCAACCGATTTTACTCCCAGCCATAAATTTTCAAAATTCCAATACTGAACGGCTCTTTCCTCCTCCCCTTCTCTGCAGACTAGCTGGAAAACTGAGCATCACTCACAACCCCTCAGAAGAAGACATAAAAATCAAGGACATTAAATGCAGCCCCATTTCTCATTAAATACAAGACAAAGCACTTTCTTCTCCTACTCACACTTCACCTTTTATACAGGATACCCTCTGCATGGTAAACGGCACTGTGCTTTGTCTAACTCCTGCTATTGTTAACACACCTGGATTTGCATGCATCTTTGTCTTGACATAATGACTTCATTTCCAAGATAATAAAAACTAATATTAAAAGCATTCTTCATAAAGCAGAATGCAGCACTTAGAAAAATCCGTCGGGCTACAAGAAATGCAAGAACCTCCATTCAGCAGAAGGGGTTTGCCGAGGGTAAATTCTTTGCTATGTTTCAGATGCATCATTACAATTCCAGTTATTGAATTAAACAGGCTGCAATGAGATGGTAACAGAGCACTGCCTGCGAGAAAAATACGAACTTTAAAAATCCATAATTCCCTGACAAATTGCTTATTGCATACAGCACTGCACAAGTGATGGATGTCCCTGGAAAAGAGGGAACAAGTTTGAAGCAGGAGTTCACTCTGTGTGCTCTGCTGGAGGGGTGACAGTTCCCTGAGTTCACTCCACAAAATTAAAAAGGAGCAAGGGGAGAAGCCCAGGGCACCCAGGCAGCACTTCCCTAGGCTTGCACACAGCTGAAAAGTGCAGCCAAGCTGCAAGCAGCTGCAAAAGGCACACAGGAAAAGTAGGGTCTCACTTTAAATCAACCTGGATATGAATGGTCCTGAACTGTCCAACAGACTCCAAACAAAAAGTGAATAACCATAAATAAAGACAAAACCCCATCCTTTCTCTGGGGTTTTCTGGTGACAGCCCTCTCAGAGCCTCAGGCTCATGCTGTGCCACCAACTGGGGGTTCCTGTCTGCAGCTGCGAATGGAAAAGGCTGGGAAGTGCCTGAATCAGCTTCTGCCTCCTCAGTAGTGTACTGGATTCACAGGAGGGAGGTTGGAAAGCCCTGTGGCAACATGACCTAGCTGGCTTCTGACAAGGTGAGAGCAGAACTGCCAGGGGAAGAAGGCGGGAATACAGCACATCCTGTTATTCCACATGCTTGAAACACAGGAAGCAGCCTGCCATCTCCTGTCTGCCACCCATTCTCCACAGGCCACGTGCACACAGACCACACTCCTCTCAGAGCTGCCCCACAGCTCCCATTCAAACCAGACCTTTCACTTCCCAGTACTCTACTGCTGCTTCCCTCCCCACCCCTTCCTCAAGAGCTACTTTCTCCCTGGTTTAGGACCCAGGCGCTCAAAGATTTGCATTTCCTTTCCCAGACACTGCCTTACACGGAATCTTCTGCATAATCCCTGCATCAGTCAAGCTACTTCTGCAAACTGGATCCGGTGGAGAAACCCACTTGACAGCAGAGACAGCACAGCTCCCAGCAGCTCCCAGCCCTGCAAGTGTGGTGGAAGGGTGCTGGGACCTCGGGTCTGACTGCATGGGACACTCACCTCCCTTCCCTCTCCCACAAGACCTTCAAGAGCAATGCTGCAGCCAACTGCGGACCAGTGCAGCCCCAGTTTGGCAGCCTGCTCTGCATGAGAACTGCATCTCACTAACTCCAGCACTGCCAGCACAGGAGGTTCTCCACCGTGGTTTGCATGGCTCCTTAACCACAGAGGTGCCAACACGCAGCACTCCACAGTGCAGGTTTTACTCTGTGGGCTCCACAGGACATCTCCTCGGTGACAGGTTGGGTGACACTGTTAAGTGTCTCCTTGATGCCAGCACCCAACAGGGACAGAGTCAGCACAGGCTGCTCCCTTCCACCCAACCACCATCGAGTCAGAAACACTCCAGCACACAGCAGGTACCCTCACCCCTGCACAGGTAACACGCTGAGATGAGTAACTTACAGAGGTGTCTCCCCAGGGAAAGATGGGCTTCAAGTGCAGAAAAACCAGCCTCCCAGCAGAGGCAGGATAAGGTGGTTGCCTTGGAGATCATCATCTCCACAGCAATACAGATTAACCCCTTGGCTGCAAAGCCTAGACCAGCAGCAGTCATCCCTGGGGCGCTGGCAGAGCAGCACTCTCTCCAAAAACTGGTGCCCAAACAGCACCCATGAAGTCCTATTAACACACACAACACAGGGCTGGAAAACTCACAGTGGTTTGGAATGTGAGGGTGGACTTGAGTTCTCGAAGAGAGGCATGGCTGGAGGGTCTAAGGGCACAGCAAAGCTCACAGACTCTGTTATGAGTTGTCTTTGATGATTGCACATTTCTGTCCCCAAGCGGGAGATGCAGGGGGGGCTGAGACACCCCATCCCAGTACTAAGGGCAGTTTAGGCACTTTAGGATGCGGAGGAATAAGACAAGCAAGAGAAAAGCTGATGGTCTGACAGCACCGACCTAGACAAGTGGGGCCAAAGTTAACTGTGCAGAGTTATCCAGCTTCCAGGAGGCCTGGTGGCCTTTCCTAGACAGATCTGCCATCAGGAACAGCAGGAACCTGAGTGACCAAACCCACCTTTTTGCAGTCCTGGCAGAAGACAGCCGTGCTGCCCAGCAGCCCGAGCAGCTCCCCACAGAGCAGGCACTGCGAGAGCCCGTTCCCCATCGCGTTCTTCCTCATGTTCTCCAGCCTCTCCACCAGGCGCCTGCGAGGAGAGAGGCAGAGCAGAGGTCACAGCACTCACCTTGGAAATGGAAGCACCTGGTACTGAGGCTCGCCAAAAACCCGCAGACTGTGCTCCAGACTCAGCCTACCTCTGCCTCTCCTGTGCAGTTCTGGGCCCCTTGCTGGGACCATATGTACCTTCACTTCAGTGTCTGCACTCAGTGCTTCCTATCAGCTGGCTCCTGATCTTCAGGAGATATAAACCCCTGTAAGCCCATCTACCAACGTTCACCAAGCTCAGAATAATCAAACTGGGAATACCACTGAGAGGCCTGACTCAGCTAGTGGGCAGAGAGCTCACACAAAGAGCTTGATCCTAAATGCTTCAGGAACTCAGTGTCACTGGGGCCACAGTCTCAGCACAAACATTTCCTGCTTGTAGAGCAGGAATAGCTTTTAATACTCAGAGCAAGGCAACTCAAAAAGCACTGGGAAAGGGCAGAGGAGTTAGACCTGCCAAGCCCTCTCCATTTTTACATGTCCCTGAGAGCAGCACTGCAGGCACATGACTTGCCCACATCCCATTAGAAGCAGGAAGGCCAGACTGAAGCCATCAGACCAAAATGAGCCTGGCTGCAGTACAGGAATGCCAGTAACTGCTCCCTGCTTTGTTCCACAGCCCGCTTGGAAGACAGGAAGCACATATGTATGCACAATGTCCATAGCAGCAGGACGAGGAAAGGGAAGGAAGGTAGGATAAGCAATTAGGATGCAGGATGTGGAGAGCATGCAGAGCAAGGCTGCTATCACGAGATCACTGCTTGGCAATTTTCAGGCATCCATTTGTAGATGGGGACAGCAACAGCCAGGCCATTTATCAGTGGCAGTGACCAGCCATAGCCATGTGTGTGCAGGAGGCCCAGGGAGGAAGTGATCCTGCTATCCATGCAATCCCATCCTCATTAGTGCTAATGTCCCGTCAACCAAGCCCCACACTGAGAGGAAGGCAAGGTCTGTTTGAAAGAGGTTCTGCCTGTGGTGGTGAGGTCAGGCTGCACAGCCAGACCGAGCCATCGTTAGTGGATTTATGATCCTCGACTTCAGCACAAGAGAACTCCCAGGAGTTAACAAAGGCATTTCAGAGAATGTTTCAGTACAGGAACAGCAAGGGCATCACTTGCTGCAGCTACACCAACCACCACACAGGAACAACCAGCTCCTCAGGGTCACTGGCTGCTGCTGGGGTCTCCCATTTACCACAGAAACCTCACTGTCAGTTCTCATCAGCCCTCATTAACACGCTCTGTGCAGAGAAGTGGAGAGGCAGGAAGCTGGGCCTGCTGGACACGGGGTGGGAGTCACTGGGGTTTCCTGTCTCACGAGCACAGAAGCTTCTGGGAAGTGCTACAGGACTGCCCAACTCCCTGGCTTTAAGGTAGTGCAGGACGATCACAGACACAGCTGAGGCCAGACCGCCAGCAGGACTGAAAGCAAATGGAAATCTGCAGCAGCAAAAGGATGCCTGTAAATTAAATAATTCAAGCTAGCAAACCCATCCAGAGGGCTCAGCCAACTAGAACATCAACTCATTCACTGCTCCAGGCAAAATCCCAGGGGACTGGTGCAGACGAGGGAAAACCTGACTGCACTGCCAGCAGTGGCCTCTGAGCCATCCGTCCACCAGCACTGGGCATCTTCCCAGCCTCCTCCAGAGCCACTGGGGCAGCTGCCTCAGCACAGGCTGCATTTTCCAGGGACTGTGTCAGGGTTGCAACCTCAGAAAGCCCTGAGGTGAGAAAAGCTCAAGATGTGGAGAGAAGGAAAACATCACATCCTTTCCCAGTTTTCGTCACCTCCAAACAAGCAACGTGGGAGGAGAAAATAACTGACCTAAGGGATGCTCTGACTGATGGAGTCTGAGCTCAGGCAGGTGAGAGAGCCACCCCTGTCTGTGCTGACCTTTTCTTGGGAGGGAAGAGGATAAATGAATGTGACTGTACCCGATGCGCTGCTGCTCGATGATGTCCAGTTTCTCTGCCTTGCGAATGACTTCCAGAATGACCTCAAGCTCCTTTGGGCTCAGAGCCTGCATCTTCCTCTGCTTCTCAGTCTGGAATGTGTGCACTGACCAGCCCGTCTGGAGCCTGTGGGAGGGGGTGGAGGGCAGGATTCAGCTGTGAAAGAAAAGCACAAAACCCCTGCCCTGCCCCACAGGCCAAACCTGCCAGGCACAGACCCACGTCAGCCTTCCACCAGAGGGGTCTGTTCCATGACTAACGCCCAAAGTAGGAGCCTCCTCTCACTGACCACATCACTCCTCCAGCATCCCAAGTGCTGTGCTGTCTCTCCCTGCCCTCTCACTTCCCTTTCTGCTCCAGTTCGTATTTCACCGCTCCAAGCCCTCAATCCTGTTTGTCTCTGCCCATAAAGAAAACCAGTGCCCCTGGGAATGGCTACCCTACTCCTGGGGGTACCCTTGGAGAGGTGGGTGCTGATGCCAGACACCACAAATGACAACAGCACACTCCTAAACACAGGGATTACCTGCATTCTCCTCCCTCCAGATCACACATTTCTAAGGTCCTCCTTTCAAACACACAAATCACTGGGCATGCTTGGAAATAAAAATTTGGCAACTTCCCTGCTTGGTCTAAGCCAGGTTCACATGAGGACTTTAGCAAGCCACTTTCCTCTGTGCCTCACACACAGCAGCTGATGTTTCTCCTTGGCTCACTTGGCGACAGGCAGGAGCTTTCACAGCTCAATTAATTGCCATTCAGGAGGGGTTTAGAGGTCACTGGATAAAGTTATGGCTGCTAACAGAATGCAGGGCACACTCTGACACAACTGTCTTACTGAGGCTTTCAGGTGCAGGCTGGAGAAGTGGCAGAGGTGTGCACTGTTCACAGCCAGGCAGTCCCCCCAAAATATGGGGTGCACTCCTATTTTCCAACACTGCAGCAGCAGGATGACCCCAGGGGTTCAGGCAAGAGCAGAGGTGGCAGAGGCATGGTACCAGCTGCCAGAGAAGGAAAGCATCCAAGAAAGAAATGCAGTCCTAGTGTTTGACTCATCTCCCTCCTTTTAGTCTTTAGGTTATGCAGCAATTTTAACTTCAGGGGAAAACGAGATCAAATGACAAGTTCCTAAAACAAAAGAGCGCTGCTGGCAGCTGGGGGATGCTATCAAATATATTTAGGGTGCTGCAGAGATACCAGCCTGCCTCCAGGCCCTTCCTTTCAGCCAGGGGAGGGCTGGTGGGACGGACTCCCACCACACTGCACATTCCACCGCAGGCTGACAGCCCTGAGCCCCAGCTTTGCAGGCTCCTGTCCCACCAGGCAGGGTACAGAAGGGTCTGTGTGACAGGACAGCAGACCAGTGCTCCACACAGACACCAGGAAAGGATTCAGGGCAGAGCTGAGGCTGGGAGGAGAGGAGGAGGGTGACAAAGACTCACTTGGCTCGCAGTGCCAGCTGCCGGTCGTTGGGGCAAACCCACTGGCCCGTCCCGCTCCCAAAAATCATGTCAGCCATGGCACCAGGCTGGGCAGGAGTGGCAGGGATCACACCTGGAAGAAGTAAACAGCAGCACAGAGCACAGCTGTCATTCCACCCCTGAGAAAGCACAGGGCAGCACTTGGCAGAGCCTCATTAACCATCCCAGAGGGCCACTCTTCCAGCAAACCAAAGGGAGGTGATCTGCTGGCATCTCACAGAGGGGAAGGAGACAGACTCTCACCCACAGACAGCAATAAAAACATACCATCATCCTCATAAAATATAAGCTAATAAATATCTTGAAATACCTTGAAGGCAAGGCTGGAAGTTTAGATTTTATGGTACTCTCAAAAAAAAGCCAGACACTCTTTGTCAGTTCTGATTTTTCATTTCAAACTAGAGAAAAGCGTCGTCTGTAAGAATAATCTCTGCCTTCCCACCTCCAGAGCCCCAATGCTGCAGTTCTGACAGAAAAAGCCATGCTAAAAGGACATAAAGAAGCTATAGTTGCCTTTTTCTTTTAATGGGGTAACAAACAAAAACCCACGCTACAATCAGCATGAATAGTGGCAAGTCATTTAGTTCATTAAAACTGCCTCCATAATGGCCTGATATTTATAACTACAGCCTACAACAGCAGCTTGTTTGCATTCTCTGATGCTGAAGACAGCACCTCTTGCAGTAGATCTCCTGCTGTGGCTCCTGTCCCCGGCACGGTCACACCAGTGAGTCCTCGTGTTCAGTGACAGTTTCACTGAACTGATCAGTAAAGGCAGCAAGAGCCAACCTCACTGTGCTCATGGGAGAAACATTCCCAAAGAAACTCTGCAGCCAAGCACTTGTGAGTCCTACCACAGCAGCCTGGGTGAATGGAAAGCACCAGGGGACAGGCACAGCCAAAAGATTTCAACAGATGCACAACTAGACTTGATGTACCAAGCTTTTAACCAGCTGGCTTTGGTCTCCAGCAGAGCAAGTGTCTCACAAGCCCTAATGCATAAATTCCCAGGTACTAATACTTACCTTCCCCAGAAGAGACACTTGCCAGCTTTGAAACTATACCTGCTGGGCAGAGATAACATGTTTAATGCTGGTTGGCAAACAGAAATCAGATACAACGGCAGGAAGGTGCATCCCCTGCCAACTGTGCCATAGTTCCTGAGCAAACACTTGCTCCAGTCTCAACCCACAGCACAGTTACCCAGCAGTGCCTGTGGGTCAGTGCTGCACCTACCCTTGCTATCTGCTGCTGACACACAGAGCTCTCTGCATGGAGATGCACGGGGGCATCACAGGCTGATGGCCTTGGCCCTGTTACACAGGCACACACACAGCTTGTGCACATCCATCCCTCCCTCCCTGTGCTGAGCTTACACGTGCCACACATGCCACACTCACCCCCAGCACAGGAACACTAACCTGTGTCAGAGAACTGACAGCTCCCTCCTGCCAAACCCCACAGCAGCCCTGAGAGTCAAATCAGCTACTAACAGTGACAGTTCTCTCTTCTCTGACCACCTGATTTTTGGAAAGAGTCTGAAAACTGAGTGATTTCAACAGGCAGGAGAGAAGAGGGAAAATTCCACATGGAGCACAGATTTCTTTCAGAGCAAGGGGACAGATCTATAAAAAGGGTGAGGGCTCAACACAACCCGAACTGTACAGCAAAGTGAAGCATGGAGGAGATAGGAAGCTGAAGGAAAGAGGGTTGAGACAGGAAGGACAGACAGAAGTGTCACTTTCAATTTTTTAAACCTTTACTACATTAGTTAAGGTGATCACTTTTGAAAGTGAAGAAATCCTTGAACCCTGGCACCTTCAATTTACCAAGTGCTTTCCCCGCTCTGCTCAGCGCTACACATGCTGTGGGTTTGCATTTCCATTTGGTCCCAGAACACCTCGTGCTCTTTTCATCTTCTCCACGATCTCAAGCGAGGAGAGAACACCTTCCCCACACACATCCCCCAGCAGCTCACACACAGGGGAGCAATCAAGCATGAGCAGCAAAAGAATACAGCGGCTCCCGCCCCCGGGGCAGGGTTAGAAGAACAGAGAAGCTACAATTTCACACAGAATGGCTGACCTGGGATTTTCCAGAGATTTTCTAAGCCTGTGATGTGTGGTTACAGGATTATATGCACATGTAGCCCCCCACACATATGCATATATTAAATTACTCTTTAAATGCACCACATATTCCTCCCTCCCACTCGGGCACACCTGAGGAATAGCACAGCCCACACTCTGCGTCCACTGGCAAGGCTCAGTGCACACAGCCACACCGTGAGTGGGACTCGGTGCCTCTGGGATGGATGTTTAGCATAAAAGCTGGAGCTGGAGACGAGCCCCACATCACAGCCAGGGCAGGGGAGTTTGCTTTGCCAGCAGCTGAGCTTTCGGGGTGGAAAGCTGTGCTGAAAACATCTGCCCCTCCTCAGCAGAGCTTTATCTGCTCTAACAGAGCTGAAGGCGAGTCAGAACAGAGCACATCAGCTGAGCATTTTTCTCAGGAGAGACCTAAATGCATTCTCCAGCCTCACAGCACAGTGAGCTTTGCTCAGCGTGACTGAACAAAAACAAGCAATGTCATGCTCTTTTGCCTCTTGTTACTCAGCATACGCTTTCTGTTCTCCACCATTCCCTGAGCACCATCTGCAAAGAGAGGAGGAATAAAAAACATTGCCTGAAGAGCCATCATATCCCAAAACAGTCTTCAGGGAGATTATTCCCTGAAATATTTACAGGAGTATTTTCTTCTGGTGGCATCAGGATGTGCTGTTTCCTCTCATCTTAGCTGGCTCTGCAGTTGGCTTTGTACCTTGGCCTCTGAAAAAAAGCCTGGTGGGGAGTGACACAACTACCTCAGAGAAGGAAACAAGAACGGAACACAGTCTGCTGGGGCAGAAGCAGGACTGGAGGGGAAGGACTATCTCTCATGGGCATGAGAATGATGCCAGAGGAGCGGTTTCCATCATCTGGAAGGGATGAAGCATCCTCCCTCTTATCTCTGTACAGGACAAAAAGTACAGTGGAATCAGAAACACCAAGATAGCAAAACCACACCAGCCTGGGGAGTCATTTCCATGGGCTGTGGGGAAACATCCCTCTCTTGCAGTCTCTTACACACTCTCTCAAAAATACTCCAGTTAGCACTTACCTCACCCAGCCATCCCCTCCCTGTCCTCCTCTCAACAGACTTAAGGAAGAAGCAGCCAGTGTTACTTAGTGTTACAGAAAGAAAACTTCCCAGTCCAAGATTCTGCTTTTTACTTGAATTCAGAATTAAAATGGAGCTCTTACCAATATTATGACCTGCTTTTAAAAGCACTCCACCTGTTTGTTCCTTTCCTATGATGGAGGAAGTCATGTGAAACAAAACCTCATTAAATCTGAGTCCACCTGGCTGCCCTGGGCACAGAAGCACAGGGGAGCTCTGCACGGAAGGAGTTCTGCCCTGCAGTGAGCCAACCCTTCACGTGGGGCCTGGAGCATCCTGGAGGATGCAGAACCCAGCACATCTCTGCCTGCAGCTCTGATGTAGCTCTGCTTCTGCTCTCCCCATGATAAGACTTGTGCTCTTCAGCCACAGAACAGGGCACCTGAGAACATGACTTCAGTCTGGGAGGGAAAAGTCTTCCAGTGGGGTCTGAGCGAAGGGAACGAGGGCAGGCAGACACAGTCCTTTGACTTGATGATCTTCAAAGAATTTCAGGCTCTCCTGCGAAAGAAGGCCATTTTCCTCAGCAGAACAGCAACGTGAACATTGTGTATCTTTACCTCAGTAACAGAACACAGTCACAGCAGGTCATGCCAAAGGTGCAGTGAGCACAGCACTTGCTATCTGACCACCTCCAAGAGCAGATGCTTCAAGAAGAGTGTAAGGGTAGAGCACAGCACAGCAATACTTATCCAGAATACCCTCTCAGCCTCCAGAGATTCCTGGATCATGCTCTCTGTGAGCCAGGCTGCAGCTCTGTATTTAACACCCCTAACGTTTTTCTATCCCAAATTTATCAGCTTGCTTTTTCAGCTCATGTACTTTTAACACCATCTCGCTACACCAAGTCCCTTCCTCGCTCCTCCACCTCAAACACATTTTGACTTTACCTTGACTACACCAAAGTTAAAACTGGAGGGTCCTGTCGACACTGAGGCAGTCACTGCAGCAGAAACACCTCCCCACACAGCGACAGCACAGCCTGCACCAGCCCTCCTGCAGCTGGGCTGATTACAGGTGCCCAGGAAGCATTAATTCCTCAGAGCCCTGCAAATACAAAAATATCCTACACAGGCCCGTGAGGAGCTCTCCAGTCAGCTTTCATTTGCCTGCTTATTTCAGCTGAGCAGCGCGTGTCTACATTAATTTGTTTTCATAGGAAATTAATTAGGCAAATTTTTTTTTTTTAAATACTTCATTTAAAAAAAAAATCAAAATTAAACAGTTGGCCAGGGACAAGTCCCCAGTTCCCAAGGCGTGCTGTGCCGGTGTAATTAACCCGCCTGCTTCCAGGGCGTCACCTCCCCCAGGACTCCCAGTTTGCATCAGGTACCTGCTGGGCTGTTTTTCCTTTTAGCGGCTGCTCCCTCAAAGAAGCAGCGTAATTACTCTCTGCTCAGCTCACCAGACCCCATTATCCCCGGGAAACCTTAGCAACTAAGTGAGTGTTTGCTCGTGTTGCTATGACAGAGGGTAAATGACTGGCGGAGATTGATAAGGTTAACCCAGCCCCTGCCTCCCGCCCACCGGCCCGTCCCTTTTCCTCCCAGACACCGGGGAGACAAGGGCGAGCAAGCAGGGAAAGGCCATTTACTCCAGACGCAGGTCTTCCCCTCGTGATTTAAAGATCCCAGTGCCACGGTTGTATTTCAAAGCACACGGCTGTTTTGAAGCGACAGAATAAGCCTCGGGGCTGTCGAAACGTGGCAGAAGGCACGCACTTGACTTTGAAGATCTGGCCAAGTCTCAGAGCCAGAGCAGGGCAGTAACTGTGGCTGTACAAGTGCTGGCTGAATCAGGGCTTTATAGAAGTTTTTCTCACACACAACCCACTTTGAACTGCCCATTCACACCTACATCTAGCAGTTAGTCAGCCCCTTCAGTGGCACAGGAGCCTGCTGTAAGCATCAATAAAATGCTATAAAATGATTTTAATAAGGGCTAAGCAGGCAGGAAGCACAAGAGTGGAGCCAAGTGATCCCCATCATCTCCTGCTCCCCTCTCTCAGGCAGGGAGACACCCAGGCACAGGGGCACAGCTGAGGAACAGCCTTTTGTCATTCCTTACAAATCCTCACAGCAGCACAAACCCTCAGCAGCCGAGGGAGAGCCAAGAGACACAAAGAATCCAACGCAATCAGACTTGACTCGCAGCTCTGTGGCTTGGGCCAAAACACAATGTCCAAATAAACACCACAAAGCCTTGGCAAGCTTTGGGACAACAACTTAAGAACCCAATCGACAGACTTTTTCCAGTCTGTCTCACCATGAAAGCTCAATCTAAGCAGCATCAGCGCCAGCAAAACAGGCACAACCTCATTCAAAGCCTCATTCAGTAGTCAATTCTGGTTGGCCCAGACCAAATTAAACACCAACTGGCTGCAGCACACAGCAACTGAGAGGTGTCGTTATCACATAAGGCCAAGTTGGCAAAGGAACAAGTAAGGATGAGGTTTGAGAGGAAAACAAAGAATGTTTCCATACACCAGAGCTGCTTCCCAATCCTGGCAGCAGTGACAAGAAGCCTAACTGCTTTTAGGATGGAGCTTATAAAGAGTTTATAAAATACAATGCCCTGGAGGTCCCTGCCAGTCCTACAAGTGGGAAGATAAAATCAGCTCTACAGGAAAGCCGACATACAGTACCAACAACCCTTTATTAATGAGAGGCACTTGTTAGTGTGGCTACTTGATATATGGTAAGCTATAAAAAAAATAGTTTTTGCCCAAGAAAATCAGTCTTCAGCGCCCCAGCACCCTGTGATGCTGGGGAGAAAAGCCAGCACTGTTCCACCTGCCAAGGTGTATCTTTATTTATCAGACTTTGGACTTATTTCCTCCTGATCTCCAGCCAGGCAGGTGCATTATGCAAAGTGAATAATTCATGAAGACAGCAGGCTCTTTCTGACTCACGTTCTGGGGCAGGTTGATCTGGCATAGGCCTAGGAGAAGCAAATTAGCATCTAAACGGCCAATTAGAGAAACTCATTTCACTATTCTGATATGCTAAAAACCTCAGGAGGCCTTAGCTGAGCTGCAATCCGCACCTCCCGGCCTCCAGAGAAGCATCAGGTTTCTTAGAAAAAATTGGACATAGTAGGCAACCACAGGCCCGTGTTTGTCAAGGAATCCCTTGCAGAAGAACCACATGCCAGCCTGTTCCACAGGTAACCTCAAGTGAAGCAGGAAAAGCACAGCTCAGGGCCAGTGGAGGAACTCTGCTGAGCAGCCTGACCCCAGGCCTTGCCAAAAACTCCCTGTCCAGCACAGCTCTGAGCCACAGGCCTGCCAACACATGTGGAGGATGAAATAGCCTTTCTCAGCATCCTTAAGGTACAGTACTGGTTTTAGGCATCCTAGGAAGCTTTTGAACAACACAAGCACGGCCACTTCAAAGACCTTTATCACCCTTTGTTGGTACAAGCAAAAAGAAAAATCATGGACTCTGAGCAGGCCCTGGAAGTACCTGACCCAACCTGAAGCAAACCAAAAACTCTGAGGTGGGCACATACAACAGCACCACCACCCTGTGCCAGAGTGCCCAAGAACCACAGCAATCCATCCTGCATCAGGTGCACGTGGCTGTCCCCACCACGCGACACGCGGGAGCCCAGACAGACGTGGCTGATAATTTTTTCCAAGGAGCACATCACTTTTAACCTCCCACTTCGGGCTTGTTTCCCTCCACACCTTTGCCACTTCAGGGGGCTGAATTCCACCTGAATTCACAGAACGGCTGGGGTGGGAGGGGACCTCTGGAGATCACCCAACCCCCAGAGGAGGCTGCACAGGGCACATCCAGGCGATCAGCTCACCCCGCTGTTCCTCTCTCCGCAGCCTTTCACAGAGACTCTCCCACCTGTAGAGCGCCAGCTCCGAGTGCCCAGGCCCCTCCTCAAAGCTCCCCGGTCCCAGCCCACCCGTACCCACGGGCACGGCCCTTTCCATGGAGCGACACGTACCTGGCAGCCGGTAGGGACCGAGCCCTGAAACTCTGCTCAAACTCCGCCCGGAGCGCCCGTGAGGCCCCGGCAGAGCCGCGCCGAGCCGAGCCGAGCTTAAACTAAGCTAAGCTAAAGTAAGCTCAGCTGAGCCGAGCCGCCCCGCCTGCTCCCCGGCGCGGCTCCCCCCGCGCACCCACCTGAGCTCGGGCCTCGGTCGCGGCCGCTCCGCGGAGCCGCCGCTGCCCCGGCGGGACGAGGCGGAAACGGAGCGAACCCGGAGCGCTCCCGCACCGCCCCCGCCCGCCCCCCGCGCGTCCCCTGGCGGCCACCGACCGGCCCCGACGGGGGATGCGGGCACGGGTGGATGTGTGTGTGCGCCGGGAGCGGCCGGAGGGGATGCGGGCACCGCCAGAGGCGCGCCGGGAGCGCGGACAGATGTGCGGCTGGGGCTGGCCGGAGGGGGTTCAGGCACAGCCAGATGTGCGCCGGGACTTGTGCGGGGCTCCGGGCACCGCCAGAGGTGCGCCGGGAGAGGAGCGGGGATGCAGGCACAGATGTGTGTGTGCTGGGAGCGGCCGGAGGGGATGTGGGCACCGCCAGAGGTGCGCCGGGAGAGGGTGGGGAGGATTCAAGCACAAGCCAGATGTGCGCCGGGACAGGCCGAGGGGGATGTGGGCACGACCAGATGTGCTCTGGGAGCGGCCGGCGGGGATGTGGGCACAGCCAGATGTGCATTGGGAGTGGGGATGTGGGCACACCAGCTGTGCACCGGGGCCTGTGTGGGGCTCTGGGCACCTCCAGATGTGCGCCGAGAAGGGGTGGCAGGGATACAGGCACAGCCAGATGTGCGCTGGGAGAGGCTGGAGGGGTTGTGGGCACAGCCAGATTTGTGCTGGGAGCAGAGCAGGGCAGCGAGCACTGCCACATGTGTGTCCCAAAACACCCATGGGGAAGAAAAGCAGCAAACTATAAACAAGGAAAGGCCGTACCAAAACAAACCCGAAGAAACCCCAAACAAGGAATTCTCCAAAACAATACCAAGAAACCCCACCCTCAAAACAGAAACAAGTGAAACAACCTCCAACTAAACAAAAAACCCAACCAAACAAAAGCCCCAAACACAAACCTACCCAAACAAAACAAACCTTCTAAAAACCATAAAAACCAAACAAAAACCCCCAAACTCAAGACCTCGAAGTTAAACAAACAAAAAAACCCCCACACCTTAAGAAACAAACAAACAAATCACAGAAAAATGGAAGCTCAGCACAAAAATTAACTTTTCAGGGGTAAGAAAAAAATGTTCAAACCAAGAACAAAAGGTGACTTGCCAAGTCAGCCCCAGGACAGCCATGGGGAGCTTGGAAATTTTAAAACTGAAGGGTCCAAATCTGCTGAGTGATCCCAATAACATTTGCTGGTAACAGCAGCAAAATTTGGTCTTCTGAAGAGACAACCTGGGATCATGCAGTGAGTCAACAGAACGTCACAGGAACACAATTAGTCCTTTGCACAAGCCCAAGGACAAGCCCGAGAACACAGAAATTCAGGCTCGTTACTGTCTAAATGTCCAATGGATGCTGTGAGTAAATTTGCCATCTGACAGGAAGAAAAGAGAAAGGAAGAGAAGATAAATCCTCAGCCTGTGTTTTCACTCTCTGTTCAGAGCCTGCTCTTGAGAAATCTGCAGGCCCTACAAGCCCCATCATTTCCACACATCCACCAGACCTCAAGAGAAGCTGAGGGACCCTCAGTCACCTTTCACTTAAATGGAATTCAAGTCTGAGCATATATTTTGCTTTTTGGTTTAGGCAACTGTTGAAAACTACATCAGAGGAAGCAGTTTGCATGAACACAGAGCCTGGATTTCTGTGGAAGAAAGCACTTGACGATGACATTTCACACCAGGGTAGTTCCTCCACAGTCAATAATATAAATAAATTCAACACACGGTTCAGCCAACTTCAGGAAAAAGATAAATTACCTTATTTAACCACCTGTACTGGCGGGGAAATGGCACATCTCAGAGCCTGCATCCCTTCTGCTGCTGAATTTGCTCATCAGGATCCTCACAGAACCACAGAATCTTCGGAGTCTGACTGCAAGGCTGGGCCCTGGTAACTGGAGTCAGAGAGAATAAATATGACATTACATTAAAAAATATTTAAAGGCTAAATACGAGTTTGATCTTTCATAGCACAAAGTCAATTTTTAATATACTCGTTTCTCAGCACTGCCAATTCCACCCGAAGGACCCTTCAAAACCACTCTTTTATTGATGATGAGTTTCAGTGAATTATTCACCAGATCTCAGCTGCCTGAGGTTTTAAATGTGACAAGGACAGTAACAGAGAACAACCCTCTCCCCCTCCTCCTGCAGGCCTCCCAGTGCTGCTGACAGGGGCACCGTGGGTGCCCTGAGCTGATCCCATCTCCTCTCAGCTCAGCACACACTGGCACACCAGGAACAGCCTCCTGTGTCACCCTCGGACCGGCACATCCTTCCAAAGATGGAAAATAAAAAAAAAATCACCTTTTCTGGAGAGCTGCTAAACTCGTGGGTGTGAAGTTGTCCCTCAGAAGAACTGCAGGTGTTTAAAAGCAGCCCTACTGTACACCAAAAGGATCCAAAATGTAACAATCCTGGAGAGCTACAGGAAATTATTCCCAGTTTGGACACTGGGCTCATAAGCAGGGTCTGGGCTCCCATTCTCTGCTTCCCACAGCTTGGCTGTAATCTCTGTTTTATCACAGGGTCCTTCAGGTGAGGGCTCTCATTCTCTATTAAGCATTTGCACATGGGGTCCAGGTGGACAATTAGCATTTTAATACTCAAATAATATTAATTATGAGCTATTTTAAACTCACAGAGGAACCAAAGGCCAAACTGGCCCTCTGCTTGTCTCCGAATGACCATTTTCCAGGGACACAGGCTGACAACTGGGGAGGATCTGCCTCAGCCAGGGCTGTTTGGCACTGCTTCCCCATCCCCCTGACTGCTCCAGCTCGGTCTAGCTGCTTCACAATTCACAGCAAGAAGGCCAGGGATTTTCTCCAAGCTGTTACTCTGATTGCAATCCTCTGATTCAATTTGTATTCACCCATCTAATTACCATTCCTTAATAAAAATGTCAATGATTCTGTCCCTAATCTGAACCAAAAAAATCTTGTCTGTGAGGCACACCTGCTCAAGGATACAAGACAAAGCAAGCGTTGAAAGAATATTGATGCTTCATAGCAAATTAGGTTGCTTATTTTGACCTGTTTTAAAGAATAATTCCAAATTCTGATCACATTTCCCTTGCAAGGGCAAGGCTCAGGTCTAATTCCCCTTTCCTTGTTCGTGTTAAGCCTACAGCATCCACAATACCACTTCACAAGACTTCCTCTAGTAGCCCAAGTGGTAAGACTATACACAGCTTCCGTGCCTCTGTGGCACAGGAAAATGATGCACATTTGGGAATAAACTGGTTCCATGGGGAAATCTAGAGGAATTTCTCAGTGTAGTTGCATTTGAAGTCAAAAAGTGCACCAAGATTTGCCTGGGGGTGATGCCCTTTCAGAACAAAATTATCTGCTCCCAGGGGCACCTCACAACCCAGCATCTTCCCGGCCTCCTGCAGCAGCAGAAAGGGCAGGTTAACCAGGAGAACATCGGTCCTGTCCATCCTGCTATTCCAGCGAGGAGCTGTCAGAATGTTTTCTTTGTGTGTAGCTCAGCCACTCCCACTGGGCTCTAATTTTGGCTGGCAAGTCAGGTTTTATCATGACAAAATTAATGACAACCCCCACTTGTCATTAACAACAAGTAATCCCCTTCCCTCAGCTGTTCTCCAAAAATATCACACTCACTTCTCAGTCTGGATGAATTATTTACATCCCATCACTGCCGTTGTCATTTTCCTTGTCTTTTGCCCTGTGTCACCATCCCTTTTATCCACACGCAGGCTTTGGGGGGACCTTCTGGCTGCAGTACAGCATCAGCAATAACTATCAGTGAGAACCCCTGCTGCTGATGCCATGGAATCAGACCATTAGCGACAGTCGGTGTGGGATCAGCCGTGGGAGCAGCCTCTGGGAGCCTGATTCCATCATAACCTGTCCGAATGCAACCGCCAGCACCTGCCAAGCTTCACGTCTAAATAGATGAGAAGGAGAGAAGGGAAGAGGCAGGGAGGGCAAGAAAAAACCCAAAGAGGATTAAACCACTTATTATTCCCAGGGAGAGAATGACAAATAAGAGGAGTGTTGCTTCAGCAGCTGTTCCTGGAGCTCGCATGGTTTTCGTCCGGGTTCACCTCTGAAGGAGAGGTGCTGATCTCCCTCACTGTGAGGGTGTTGCAGCACTTCCCACCACCACACACAGCAAGGGCAGGAGCCTGAGGGTGCACCAGCCCCAAAAACCTTGGGAGAGCTGTTGCTGCCTCGGGAACTGGTTCTCATGTACCTGGCAGTAGGAGAGGTGAAGGGAAAAGGTGAGGTGGAAGGGAAAGGAGTGAGAAGGAGGTGGAGGGAGAAGGCACTGAGGTAGGGGGAAGATGGAAGGGCAGAACCTGAGGAGAGGTGGAGGGGGAAGGCCCTGAGGGGAAGGAAGATGGAGAGGGGTCACAGACAGGCCATGCCAGGGCTGCTGACCTCCCTTCCCCTGCTGCATTCCAGGCTGGATGTCAGCTCTGGGAGGCCATGCCAGGGTGGCTGCAGGTCCCTTGGGCAGGAGAGCAGCGTGGGCAGGCAGTGGAGGGCAAGGGGTTGCCCAGGACCCCCTCCACCACCCGGGGCTGGCACGAAGCCACCACAGAGAAAGAAGCCAGCACGAGGAAGCACCACCTCCACCACCATCACCACCAGGAGGGCAGGTGAGCTGGAGAGAAAAAAAAACAGCCCTTCCCAGGAAACCACAGATGGTTCTTTAAAACCTTTTACTGAACCTGTAGCCCGTTCATACACATAGTTTCACATGTAGCTACGAATCTATCAAAAAAAAAAATATTGAGTGCATGTAACTACACCACATAAGCAGTAGGAGGCATAAGGCATCTGTCAGGAAGTAGGAAATTTCATAAACTGCCTGAGATTCGGGATGCTGTAAATATTTAGTGGTTTTCTTTTGGTGAGCTACAGTATATTTGTTTAAATATTCACCGTTCCAGGGGCGTGAGTCACGTCCCTGCTCTAAGTTCCCATCAGTGGGGGTGAGTGGTTGTTAAAACTACAGAGAGGGGAGGCTAATTTCCATGTAATTCCTTCCATGTTAAGGAATACTTCCATTCACTTCCAGTATCTTAGTACAAAAGGTGCCTGAGAGTTTCCAGAAATTATACTATTAAAAAAAATCACATGGCTTGCTGCATAAATGGATAACAGCTTAAAAAAATCCCCAACAACTAAGAATCAATTTCCTGCCTAAATAGATTCAGGCAAGCCCAGTGAACTTGATGCCATTGCAGAAGTGCTATTAATGCATTAACAGCCTCCATAAATACATTTTACAGGTGTGAGAATCGCTAAGTTAGCCAATTGGAAAAATATATATTTCCCACTTAAAATAAGATTTTTGGGCCATTAATATTTTCCTGTAGATTTGGTTTCTTATTAATGGCCACATGAAGGCAGGGCAAGCAGTTTTTTCATCATTCTTTTTATGAAATAAGCAGGAGAGCCTCAGAGGCACTGCTTACAGTTTTGCTAACAGCATTTATCACTTTAACAGATAAACACCACCACAAAAGCAGAAAGCAGCGGGCCCACTCCCCTCCAGTGCTTAAAATCTCAAGTCCCAGGAGGAACCCTGACTCAGCCCAAGGTACTGCAGAGGAGAATCAGGAAGATGCAGAAATAACAAAGGTCATGGCATCAGCTTCCACCATTTTGGATTCTAGTCAAGCAGAGGAAGGTCTTTCAGCTCAGCTTCAAGAAAGCCTTTGATGGGATGGGATTCCTGAGGATCCCGAAGCAGAGGAGGAAAGGCTGAGTGTCTGTGAGGTGAACAGAAGGAAATGGTAGGAGTTGTGTATCCACCCTGCTGAGCTGTGCCCAGCTGCCAGGCATTCCCCATCGCTCCATCCCAGCCATCACACAGCAGGTACGGAGGATTGCTGCTGTTATTCTCTGGAAAAGCGAGTGTGAACTGGTCCTGAACGAGCTGGCACAGCCTCTGAGCTGCACCAGGGGTGCCACCCAAAAATCTCAATGACTTCTGCAGCTTCATACTGACTACTCACTGTCTATATCATTTATATTGTAGAAACAAACCAACCTGTTTGTTAAAATAGGGGTGCAACTCAGATTGCTCCCAGCAATTAAAAGTGCTCCTTTCCACGCTGCCTGTTTGTCCTGGAGCGTCTCTAGTTACTGCTGTTAGTTTAATTTCAAGATAATACTCACTGCATTACACCTGGGCTTTCCAGGTATTCCCGTTGTCCATTGCTGGTCTGTGGGCAGCTGAGGGACCAGACACCTTGTCTGGAGGCTGAAATGATTTGCAGGCACACAGACTTATCTTACTCAAGACTGAGCAAGCTGCAAAGTCAGGATGGGAATCCAGCCCTCACCTCCTGGCTTGTGATCCAATTGTTAGATGCAGTATTCCACTTTTTAATAAAAATTCATTGTATCAGACCCTCAGATGTGATGTTCTGGAGAAGCACAACAGATGGACAAGAAAAACGGAGCACATCCATAACAGGGTTATCCTTGGCATATCTGGGTAGCAACTAGAAACCCATTTGGACAATATGAATTAAAAATTATGTCCAGCAGTCAGCTGCCTTTTACTTCCCTACTTCAAATTCTCATAGTAAAGGAACTTTCATACAGAGTGTTATGACAATACTTGAGGAAAACAGCCCAGGCCATGCTAAGGGAAGTATCTGGAAGTTGGGTGACACATGTGAAAGGAGAGAAAGTTTCCCTGAAACCCCCCTGGAAGACACTGTTGCGATTTTAAAAAGTTTCTTCTTAATGGCTCTTCCAATAGACTCTTTTATACAGAATTGATGTTTATATTTGGCTTTTCCCCTGTTTAATACTTTAAGCACTGCAGGATACCCAAATGCTCGCACAGCCTTTCGCAGGAGCAGTGGCTTCACAGCTCCCCAGATTCCAATAATGTCATTACGTGCAACTCTGGAGCTTTTCGCAAGCAGATAACCAGATGAACAATAAAAAGTAAGCAAAAAAATCCCATTAGGAATTAATTAACTGATGTTCAATTGCATCCGCTTCTACCCTGCCGGAGTCACTAACAAAATCAGCACGCCTGCAAATTCAGAAAGGTTGGAAGAGCAGATTAAGCATCCAGAAAAACACCACAGCGTTTCTCTCAACACAATAGTTTATAACCTTCTATTCTGTTTTTATAAAGTTTAATGAGCAACACATTTCAGTCTTATTTTTATGCTGTGTTTATTAATGTAGCATTTGAGCATCGACATTTTAAAAGTAAATTCCCGCCCGGTTAAATACGTGTTATATTTGAAAGGGATTAGTTCTTCACTTATAGGATATGCTGAAATCCATACCAGAAACTCTCTTTAAAAATAAAACTGTACCAGATGAACGGCTCAAACACGTACTGGAGAGGATTTTCAGCTGTCTTCAAAGCACTTAATCAGTGTCTTACTAAACTGACAAAGCCACAACATTTGGCATTGGTTTGGGGGTTTTTTTTAATATAGAGAGTTTTATATAGGAAACACCCTCCCAGAATATGTAAACAACAGTAACACATGACAGAAGAGAAAGGAGGAGAGCTGGGATTGGCAAGACATATTATGTATTTATTTCTAAGTAACTACCACAATAAACACTGAAAAGCTTTGAATGAAAAATAAAGAGACTTCCCCACAGGATGGTTTTCAGATCATTTATTACCAATGAAGTAAAAGACAAATTGAAAGTCAGAAGGAGGGGGTGAGAAACATCACAGACATCAGAACACTTGCACAGAGCTAATCAGAGCTTTGCAAATGTTGGAACATAAATAATTTAAAAGGTATCTCTACCAATTAAAATATGTTTAAGAGGTACATATTTAAGTTTGCTTGCTTTATAAAAATCAGGTGCTTTATAGCCTAAGGGTCACTTTGTTTCTAACTAGGGACAACTAATGATTACAACTTAAAACCACCTCCTCTTAGACCTCCTGCAAATAAATTCACTGGAAGAGCGTTGTCAGAGCAATTCAGGGTCCACGTCCTTCCAGTGTCCCGTGTCCAACCAGGTGTTTCTGGAGCAAGGTACAAGAAACAGCAAAGCAATGGTGCAACAGCTTTCCCACAGGGGACTCTGTCCGTTGGAAACCCCGCACGCTCCGGGGTGAGTTGTGCCTTCCGTTGCACCACAAGTACATCTTGGGGCAACATTTAGGGGGGAATTGCAACATGAACTTAAGACACATCTCCTCAATACTGTAGTCTGAAACCAACGTGTTTGATAACAACATCGTGCTGCTCTTAACTCCGGAGTGCTGCCTACCTGACTGTGTCCTCCTGGAGCTGGTTTGGGATCGCAGAGGCAAGTACCAAAGGTTAAGGATGTTCTGTTCTGAGCTAATAAATAAGTAAAAAACCATGACAACAACAACAACAACAACAACCCCAACCCAAACCATACAAACTGAAGGCTTCCTTCCTGCTGCATTCTTCATCTCCCAAATCGTTTCTGTTCCCTGGATTGCACTTCCACACCACTCATCGCACTTGCACAAACACGTGTTAAGTACAGCTCAAGAACAGGCTCCTGAGGTTTAACTCACCACTGACAAAACTCACCCTTGGGGCCATGCACTACCTAAGCCCTCCTTAAAAGCAGCTCCAGGACTGGTGTTGCACCACACAGTGACCCACACCTCCGAGGAGTTTTGGAACATGTGGAAAAGCTGTGCCCAGCTAAGACAAGTTGACCAGGTGTTTCCGGGAGATTACTCCCCAAGTAACACCTGCCCCCCAAAGCAAATGCTCTCCACACTACACTGCGCTCCATCAGTACAGGGAAAAAAAATTTGGGAAAAGAAGGAAACCCCTCTGTCTTATTTCCATCAAAGCACACGATAAACTAACGCACATAACATCCAGACAGACGTTCATGGTGCCTGAAGCTATTCCCTTTGGTCCCCAAACTCAGCATGCACTTGGGACTGGAGGGGTTATTCGGCACCTACAGACAGTCTACCCCACTCCAGTGACATCCCGGATACCAAAGTCCAGCGAGGACACAGAGAAGCTCAGCGGGTGAAGCAGAGCCACAGCCCTGGATTTCGCTATGCGCTAAAAACCTGCCCGTCCTTTGCTACCATCGCCCTCCTCACAACCCCCGCCACGACAGCGTCTCACACCCCATCCCAGCACCTCCTTTGCCGTTCTAGGTCCCTGTGTAAACATTATCTGAAACTTGCCTGGTTAGAGCTCCCTCAGAGCAGACAGTTCCATGTCGGTAAAAACAAGGCACTTGCGGTTTTTTCCACCTCCCCATTGTCAAGACCCGACTTTCCAACAACCCGGGGATGATTTTTGGCCTGGATAATTTTAATCTTTGGTACAAGTCCTGCTACGCTCACACAGATGTGTGTTGCATGGACAACTGCGCTGCTGAAGTCGTAAGGACAGAGGATACATCGCGCTGTTCATCCAAAGAATTGGAATTGCCCGAATTTGCCTGAAGCTGCAAAAGCAGTTTATCTCCTGTGCTACTCAGAATTCCTCTTCTTTCCAATTTACGCCTTCAACCAAGGCACGAATGCCATGTGATAGTGCTTTTGTAACCTGTTAAATTCAGAATTCCGGATTTTTCTGTTAGCTTTCTCCAGGAATTTCCAGGAGATGGTCCTTCTAGAGAAAGCACTCTTGCGATCTAAACTGAAATGACTGACAGCTCTGGCTATCTGCAACCAAATGACCGGGTAGATTCTCTGCATGAGAGTGAACTGCCCTTACTTTTGCACATCACCCCAAAGCATCAAATGGGGCACAGATTCTGCCAGGCACTATTCCACGTTCTTTCTTACCTGTCAGCTTTTCCTCTGGTAAAATACCTCCCGTTATTTTCACCTGATTACTGCACTGCGGGGAAGGGGAGGGAACTCACGGCTTTGGAGGCGAAGAAACAAGTCCCTTACTAAGTTATGTTCCCACAAGAAAACTGCGTTTCGGGCCGTTCTGATGCTTAAAGCAGGAATTTAGAGCTGGGAAGGAGGGTCTGTACCCGCTTTAGCTTAGTGGAGTTAGCACAGTACGTTGGGTGGGGCCGGGATGGATCAGAGCAAGGGAGGAGGCCGGCAGTCAGCAACCATCCAGGACACAGTCGTTCCCGAGGTACTCCGAGGTTTCCAGCTCTATGCTGGACAGGAACCGCCGCGTGGTCTTGCGGCAGTTGTAATCCAGCGTGGTGGTGTACACAGTCTTGGCGTGCTTCGGGTAGATGATGGTGGTGCTGGTGAAGCGCCGGGGCTTGTTGCGGGGCTCGAAGTGCACCTCTGACTTGTAGCTGCGCCACGTGCAGTTGGGGACGCAGATCACCGTCTGGCTGCAGGAGGACACGCTCAAGCCCACGGGCATGTAGACGTCGTCGATGAAGTGCTTCTCCGAGTCGTATCTCACGGAGGACGTGTACCTGAAACACGAGAGGCACGTGTGTGAGCTCGGCTCAGCAGCAGCAGGGTGTGTTTTCTGCAGCACAGCACCAGGGTGGCTCCTCAGCCCCGAACCTGCCACACCACGCAAGAAACGCCTGCTGGTGTCTTACTCACACATTTGCCTTACGTTAGCAGCACACCCAGAACTGTCACTGTTCAGCCCAGCTGCCAGCACTAACAAACGCCTTCTCAATCCTTGGGTACATCATTTTAACCCTGAGCCCTGTGAACCCACAAACCTCCTTCAGATTCCTAAACCCAGGGGCCTAGATCCACATTTAGGCTTTGCACATAAACATCCTGACTCCTCGGAGTGCCAAGTCCGTGGAAGCACACGTTATCTTCTCAGTTTTGCTCTGCCAGGAGTCACGTGGGAGTTCTCTGCTATCACTCCCAGCACGGGGCACTCTCTGAAGACAAACTTGTGAAGATTCAACTGACAGGAAAATACTTCACTTTGCACACCAATCTCTGCCGGTGAGAAAATCCCCTGTGCCTGGACTGCAACAGAAAGTTTTCATCTCCTTCACACTGTGACAACTCTGTGTTGGCTTTTCCACAGTGCTAACTGCCTCCAGTTCCAGCCACGGCACAGGTTCCTTCCCCACACCAAGACATAATTCTTCCTACCCTCCCCTGCATTAGGCTTCCGTTTGATTTTATCAGCCTACCTCTGCTTCCACAGTCATCAACTGGGAGCCTTCATTTCTCATTACTGCAAATCATGATGTTCAAAGGAATAATTCACAGGCTGTGAAGCGATGCAGTGCATTAAAAAAAATAATTATGCACTCCTCTGAATATTACCTTTCCTTTTATTTCACACAACCAGCCACAGCTGTTAAGATAGAAAGTGCTTATTATCAAACCATGAGGTTACAAGAGCAAAATTCCTTTCCTCTAATAAAACTGTCCTAGAAAGAACTTTGAAGCTCTTCCCTCATGATTACCTTCTAGTTAGTCAGTTGAAAGGCAACTTTGGAGCAGTGCAAGGAAATCAAAGCAGGAAAGTAAAATACAAGAAAGTCTTCCTGGGAAAAAAAAAAACCAAACCCAACCATATGGGTGGGATTAAAAGAGGCTGAACACTCCTTCAGCCTGTACAAATGTCCAGGTCCAGGAATGTACAGCTGCGGTGAACAATAGCTCTGCAAATAAATTAACTTGACTCACAGGCACTGATAAGGCCTAACTGCTCCTTTACGTGCTATCTCCTGTAACTCCTTCAAAACGAGATGACTGTAACACAGTATTTACCTTATTTCCTTTGGTGGTAAAGGGTCAAACTCAACTCCTTCGCCAAAGGATAAGGGACACAATCTTGGAGGGCAGCTGGAGAGAACAGGGCTGGGGGAGAACACGGAATTCTGCAAAAAATGCAAAAGTTTTATGTTACAATTCAGTGTATTCTCAATAAAAGACATTCATTTATCCCTTGGTACGGAGCTGTTGAGGTTCACATTTATGTGCAGGAGGATCTGCTAGTCCAAGAGTTGCCTACAGGTGCATCCCACAGGCCTGAGTCCACACTGGTCTACAGCATCCAAGAGATGGCAAGGGGCACTTTTGAAGGCAAGGTCCTGACTCTGGGAGCTTAATTCAGAGAAGCCACTCTGGGAAACGGGAGAGGAGTACAACCCCTCAGCGCAGCGTAGCTTCTGCAGCATGAACTATAGTCTGTTCCCTGCATGAGCCCACACTCAGTTTATAGCTAACATTACATGGGTGTATGAGAGCTCCCTCCTTGCCAGATTCATCCGAGACGCCCACGGACAGACTGCGGCAGGAAACCATCGCAGGGCATCTCCCGTGAGCAACCTCCTCCTTTCACAGCTACGCCCTGGCTCCTATTTGAAGGCATTAAATCCAACCTAATTCACACACAGCATGTGGGGAAGGATTAACTCATTCCCACTGAGTGGTGATTCATGGACTTTCCCTGTGCTCCTCTCCTGGACACCCAGAGCCATGAGCCGACACCGGCCCGGAAACATCCCACAGCCCAAAGTGGCCCCAAAGGGAAGGAACCCAATGGGCTTGTGCTTTTGAAGCCACCTCTGCACATGTGCTTACTAACGAGGGGCAAGGGGGCTGTGAGCATCTCTCTGGTTCAACACACAATTCTCCTATGGCCTTTTCCAAACTCACAGCAGCACCCCTGTAGAAAAGGGATTTTCCCTCTAAATCTGCAGTTTCCAAAGTACTTGTAACAACAGCTCAGCGTTCACATCCAAAACCCATTTGGTAAAAAACCAGCACATATCTATCTGATACTATTAACTGAAACCAAAGTTTATACACAAACTTCCTACTCTGGGTCACTGCGGAAAAACAGGAGTTCACTTTCCGCAGGGATTTTCAAAGACATATTGCAACCGTGTCCCAACCCCGACCTGGGGCAGGAGGGACAGGGATTCCCTTGCACCAAGAACCAACCCCAGAGCTGGAGGCATTGTAAAAGGGATCCCTGACGCGACCCCGGTTCCGGGCGGGATCCCTCCCTGTGCAGGTCCCTTAAGGAATACGAAAGCGGCCGGAGAGGTCGGTGAAAAGGAGGGAAACCAGGGGCGGTTATTCCCAACCCATTCCCACGCCGACCCGCCAGTAACCCCCGCGGGTTTCCACCCCCCTTTTCCCACGGGATGCTGCGGGGCCCGGAGCGCGGCCGGGGCCGACAGCGCGGGGTCCCGGGCGGTGCATCCCGGCGGGGTGCGAGGGGCAGCGGCTCCTCCGCTCCCCGGGGGCGCGGGGCCCGGCACCTGCCCGCGGCCCCGGCGGGAGGGTCCGGCGGCCCCGGGACCCAGCGAGGGGCGGCCGGGCCGGTACTCACCGCGGCGGAGGGCGCGGGCGGGTCGGGCTCCGGCAGCCCGTTGGCGGCGGCGCGGTCGGGGCTGCCCGAG